GCAGAAGCCTCACTTACACAGCTTGAAATGTCTGTTTTCCAACCACATGACTAAGAACAAGACCATGGATACTGAGGCCAGAGCATTTCAATGTCCTTTCCCCACCTCTACCTTCAACAGGAGAGCCAAAAGATGACAGGGGTCAATTACCTACTGCTGAATAAAAAACCACCCAAAGCTTAAGGGTAGAAAACAACAATAATTTGTTTACACTCCTGGATTCTGTGGATCAGGAGTCTGGGGAGAGGTCTTCTGTGCCCCGTAATGCCTGAGGCCTCTACTGAGGTGACCTGAATGGTTGATGTGGGAGACCAGGTGTTCTCTCTCCTCACACTTTCTGCACCTGGACCTAAATGGCTGAAGAATGGGATCAGCTAGTGAGACCAGGAAGCTAGAGGGCAGAGGGACAGGGGAAGTCTGTTCTCTGAACATCAGAAGCCTGGCTAAAAATAGAGCCCATTGTTTCAAAGGGCAAAAGCCTGGGTAAACTGAGATAAGCCCCTGGAAGATGGGGTGCAAGGGACTGCCTGACATCAGAAGCCCAGCTAAAAGCAGTAACCACATTGTTTCATTGTCTCATTTTCATCCACCCACCAAAATAGCCCAACAAAGTGTATATAAAACCCCTGAACCTTGGGGCCTCCTCAGCATCCTCCCTTGGAGCCCTCAGCTAGCAAGAGCTTTTTTTGTTCTCACTAATAAACTACACTTGGTTCTTTCCCCCACTGCTATCCATTGACTTAATTCTTTGTGATCCTCAGAACAAGAGCCCAGAAAGAAGCCTGGTTACACTAGGACTGTTAACTGCAGCCCTCCACCGTGGGGGACCAGGGGGTGGAACACCTTACATAATGGCTCCCCCAACCTGTCTGGCTTTAACAACCCAGCCTGGAATGTCCCAGAGTGTCACTTCTGCCACACTTCAGTAACTGAAGCAATCACAGACTTGCCCAGACTCAAGGAGAGAGAACAAAAGCACTGACACTACATGTCAATGGACAAGTGTAAAAAATTTGGGCAGTTTTACAAAACCATCACAGTAGGTCATCAGAAAAATAAATGATAAATAACAGAAGAAAAAATTTATAGATCAGAAGAAACACACAAATTCCAAATTGAATAAGCTCCTCGAGCGCCAGGGAGGAAGAAAATGAGAAAAGATTCAAACCTGGACAGTCACATCTTGTTTCAGAGCACCAAAGATAACAACTCTTTAAAATTTCCAGAAAGAGTAGCAGTATATTTTCAGGCCCAGGAGAGTTAAGGATGATTACTGCCCAAATAAGTCAGCTTGCTGTCACTGTAACAAAATGCCTGGGATAATCAACTTGAAAGGGCTGATTTGGGCTCATGGTTTCAGAAGTTTCAGTCCATGGTCACTCGGACCTGTTGCCAAGACATGGGTGGCACAGTAAGTCATGGTGGGAGCATGTAGCAGAGGATCCCTGTCCACCTCATGCCAGCTGGGAAGGAAAGTGAGAGAGGAGGAGCCAGAGTTCTAGCGTCCTCAAGGGTGCACCTCCACTGCCCTAATTTTCACTAGGGCCCACCTCCTACAGATTGCATCACCCAGTGGCATCAAAGGCTAGGAACTAAGCCTTTAAAAGATTTCAGATCCAAACCACAGCAATCCCCAAACTGTCTCTAAGAATTTCTAAAGGATATACACACATCGCTTCTCGGCCTTTTGGCTAAGATCAATTGTAAAGGACATACACACAGTCCCCAACTTACCATGGTTCAACTCATGATTTTTCCACTCTATTATGGTGCAAAAGTGATATACATTCAATAGAAACCAAACTTCCAATTTTGAGTTTAGGTCTCTTCTCAAGCTAACAAATATTGTCTGACTCTCTCAAAATGCTGGGCAGTTGCTAAGAAGTTACTAGGGGAAACATCCAGTACTCTGCAGTATTCTGAAGGGCACTGTATTGCTAGGCTAGAATGATTAGGTGTATTAAATGCATTTCCAATTTAGCATATTTCCAACCTATGGTGGGTTTGTGGGGATGTAATCCCATCATTAGGGAGCATCTGTATTTCACAAAAATGTAAAAAGAAAACAGGAGATACAAGAATGGCAGAGTAAAGGGACCAAGAAAGCAAGTAATTGCATTTTTCATTGTTTTTAGGAGCTGAGGATTAAACCCAGGGCCTCATAAATGCTAAGTACATGCTCTACCACTGAGCTACACCATCAACCCCTGTAACAGCACATTTTTATTGATTGATTAAGATAAGAGTCTCCCTATATAGTTCAGGCTGGCCTTGAACTCACAGTGATCCTCCTGCCTCAGTCTCCCAAATGCTGGGATTATTAGGCGTGCAACCACCACACCTGGTAACAGCTTATTTTTTAAAATAAAAATTTAGAATCAAAATCCCAAATAATTTCTGTTAATTTTCCACTGTACCCCTCTAGGATGATGGAAAGTGCAGGCTACATAGCCCTGCAGGACACCAAGAGAATCCTATCCAGGATTCCAGATTTCCAGAGTTTTCCACCAGGCAGTGCTACACGAGGGGCAAACTAGCTGAGATGAAGAGAATGTGCCATGGCATGGGCAGGTCACCTGGTTTCTTATGAATCAGTACCTCCTGACATCACACAAGTTAAGTTTGCCTGATTCCTTCCTAACATGCTCTCCACAAAATCAGACTCCCTCCTAAACTGACCTGTGACATTTCTCAATATACTAAATCAATCATTCAATGCATCTAAACAAGATTCTCCCTCTGTCATGATTTCCCATTTTATCAATTAGGATTAGGTTGAGTGAAAAAACAAAACAATGTATTCACAGTGGTTGATCTCTCTCGTGTGTGAATGCTGACTGCAGCAACAGGCCAGAGCCCAGGACACTGGTGTGCCTGCTCCAGGTGCCAGTGTGCCAGGAGCCTGGTGCCTGTGGGTGCATATATGAAGGCCAGCAGGTTAAGCACCCATTGCCTCTAAGCCTCAAGGCCACCCTGCTGTACTCTTTTGTATGATGCTAGGTCTGGAGCTCAGTGAACATTTCCCAGCCTCTTTAGCAAGCCACTTCCTCTGGGGTTCTCCCATCAGGAAGTACAGACTGGAAGGAGCTAGTAGGAAGAAGAGCCTTACTTTCAGGACCAGGAGCCAATGCCTCCAGCTTCTTCCTCACTGCCAGCAAGGACAGCCTGCTCAGCCCTCTGCAAACCACCTTGACCCCCCAAGCACCAGCTGTGTTAGTTCCCTCCCCACTGGCCAAGGCTCTGAGCCACTTGCATGCTGAGGGGGCTGAGCCTCTCCTAGAAGACCAAGTACCTGAAATACACTTTCCTCAGTGGTCTGAGCCATACCAGTGGTGCCCACTCCCCCAGCCTCCTGTGTTCTGCTTCTACCATCTCTCCCCTTGTTCCCTGAGGGAGGTACTTCTTCCTACATCACACTTCCGGCCTACTTCAGTGGCCCCATTTTCCTCTCAATCTCCTCACATCCCTGTGACCAATTCCCTACATCAAAACCCCTCCATTTGAAATACTCAGAGTGGTATGTACTTTCTAGACTGGATACTGAATCATGATCTCTCTCTGCCAGACCCTACACTCCCTGAAGGCAGGAATTTGCTTCTGTATCCCTTGCCTAGTGCTTGCCTAGTTCATACCAAGAGTTTAATAAAGACCTCTTGTACTAGCGTTTAGTCCATATATGCATCAATATTGTTGACACAAATCAGAAAATGCCAAATATTGATCATAAGATTTTTACAACAAGGTGCCTTTTGGAAATGCATATCTTTCTTTTTTTCCAGTACTAGAGATTAAACACAGGGCCTTCACACTGAGCTACACCCCCAAACCTTTTTGAAACAGGGTCTTGTGGAGGAGCCCAGGCTGGTCTTGAACTTGTGATCCTCCTGAGTTATCCTTCCAGAGTGCTGGGATTAACAGAAATGCTTATATCATAAAGTTAATTGAAATATTATATATGGAAAAATGTACAGATCTTAAGTGGATAGCCTAATGAATTTTCACTGTTTCAGGTTCTTAGCAAAATCACAGGTCTTTCTCCACTTACACTTGACTCTTCTCATCCCCTTGTATTTTTTTCTCCTTATGGGTTGAATTAAGCCTCCTGTGTTGCAGTCCTAATCCCTATTTCTAAAACGTGATTTAGGGGATCAAACTCAGGACGTTGATCTTGTGAAGCAGGTGTAGCGCCACTGAGCCACATCCCCGGCCCAAGGAAGACATGATTATTATTATTATTATTTTTTTGGTAAAATGTGACTTTGCTTGGAAATAGGGACTGTGCAGATTTAACCAAGTTAAGATGAAATCACTGGGGAGAGGGGGTCTGATCTAATGTCCGGTATCCTCATAAAAATGTGAAATTTGGAGACAGGCGTGTAGACAGGGAAGATGTGAAGACAGCCATGTAACGATGGACCTAGTGACTGGAATGTGTGTTTACAAGTCCACAAACTCCAGAGATTGTCAAGAATTGCCAGAAGCTAGGAAAAGGTAAGGATTATCCCTCAGAGAATCAGAGAGAACATGGCCCCACCAGTAACTTGATCTCAGACTTCCAGTCTCCCTATCTGTAAATTTCTGTTAAGACTATCAAGTTTGTGGTTCTTTTTCCACATTTCTAAGAAACAAATACAAGCATTATCTAACATATTATGCCTTTCACTTATTCCATCTGATCTCACTGCTAAACTTTAGGCATTACTTGAGAAAAGATTTGGTTCTTTTTTTTTTGGTACCGGGGATCGAATTCGGGACCTTGCACTTTCAGGCAGGCGTCAGAACCACTGAGCTAAATCCCCGGCACAAGATTTCATTCTTTTCGTTCTGCTTTATCCCCAGTGCCCAAAACACTGGGGCAAAGTGTGTGGCTAAGAACAGGCAGGTGAATGAATATCAACTACAGTCCAAGGCAGCCGCAGGTGTGTCAAAGTCAACATATGTACAGCGGTACAAGGGTGGGGCTGTTTTACCTCCAAGTAAGAAAAAATAGAACACAGTAATCTGAACAAATAAGGATTTATTTTTTCACATAAAAACCCAGCAGTCAGCAGTCCAAGGTTTGGGCAGCACCCCAGCCATGTCATCAAGGACCCATCACATGCCAGTTCCATGGGCTCACTCCAGCCCCTGTGATCACAGGTGGCTTCTGCACCCTCATGCATCCCCTTCATGTTCCAGGCAGGAAGACGGGTGGGCAAATGGCCACACCAGCTTCTTTACATGGAAATAAACCAATGTGAGACCTCCTCAGCAGACTTCCTCCAGCATTTCATTAGCCACAACCTTTACATGTGCACTCTAGCTGGGGGGAAGCTGGGCAGGTCAGCTGAATACTCAGCCTTCCAGCCACTAAGAGGAGAAGAGCAAGGGACAGCACTAGCAGTGGTTGCTTTGGGGGCCTCAGCAGGGAAGGATGAGTGATGTTGCTGAGACAACTGGTTAGAGACAGCAGGGAAAATGGAATCCCTATCTCACACAAAATACATACAAAAATGAATTCCAAGTAGATTAAATGCTAACTTTGGTGAGACTCTGTCTCAAAATACAAAAGGCCTGGCAATGTAAGGCCCTGGGTTCGATTCCCATATAATTAACAAATTAACTCTTCCCCCACCCCTTTCATACGCAGAGGCACACAAACATAAATTCTTAGAAAAAACAATCTTTGGGAAAGATTAGTAAATGACACGCAAATGCAGACACTACATTAAATCCGATCATTACAAAATAAAAAGCAAAGCACATTGGAAGGTATCTCTGTAAAGCATATAGCCAGAGGATTGCTACACGAGAAAATTGTACACCAGTAATAAAAAGAAAAAGGAGGCCAAAATAAAGTACTATGGAAGAAATTACACAATAAACATCTTCAAACTGATTTCTGAAGAAATAGAAACTAAAACCTTTGCACCCATCTGATTGTCAAACATTGAAAATTCTGACATCAAATGCTTAGTAGTCAGAGGGGAATCTCAGCAGCCATCCACCACAGTGGGAGGAAAAGGACATAACCTGCTTTGGACAGCAATGGTGGCCCCAGCTAGTAATAATAAAAATGCAACAATGTTACAATCCAGCAATTTTATGTCTGAAAGTATAGACATGTTCAAGAAAATGTGTAGCACATAGCAACATCTAAGAGCTAAAACCTGGAAACATTTAATGATGAGGAGTAGTAAAACAGAGAAACTGTAGTCTATTCACACCATAGAGCATGACAAGGAAGATACATCCTAAGCTACATGTTACCCAAAGTGTCACCAGCAATGTTGAGCTTTATAAGCTGAGGAATACATTCATATACCACTAAAGTTTTTTAAAATCCAAAACAATGCAATGTACTTAAGTGATACATAACTTCACTTGGTAACTTTTTTTTTTTCTCAGTACTGGGGATTGAACTTGGGACCTTGTGCTTTCCAGGCAGGAGGCGGAACCACTGAGCTAAATCCCCTGCTAAATCCCTGGCCCCACGGTAACATTTTTAAGAAACAGAAAAGTCAAGTTTAGCAGTGATCACCTCTGGAGAGAAGGGAAAGATGGATCCAAGTGGGGTGGCAATCTTATTCTCACACTGCACAGTAGGTACATGGATAATACCTTTATATTTAACTTTTGTATAATCAACCCCATTTTTTAAAGTACATGGCAAAAACTTAATTATGGCATTACACTCTTGTGTGAAAATGAAGATGTGTCAAACCTTCTAGGGAAGAACTGTAGGTATGAGGTTTGCAACAATCAACTTTTTCCCAGGTGCAAACATGCCATGTTCCAATGGAAAGTTCATCCCATCCTGACAGTGAAGCTGACCAGCAAGATTGCTTTCATATCTGCTCTCCACTCACCAAACACTTGCTAGTGTCCCAGACCGGATACTCATTGGAACCACCAGAAGGTCTCTTAACACTGCTCTTGTTCTGCTCCACATCTTCCTAAGCCAGACCTGGAGAATGCAAGGGGCTCTTAGTTCTCCAAGTGGTTCTAACGTGCAGCAAACACTGAGAACCACACAGTACCAATTTGCTTGATAATCCCCAGGAATTTAGGGAGGGCTGGATTAGAATCAAAAATTAACGTTCAGGCAATGATGACACAGTTCCATCAGCCATAAAGTTCCAGACTCCAGGTCTCAAACTCTGCACATCACCGTGGACACATCCACTTGGACACATCAGTGTGGACATGTCCCCCACCTGAACTAATGTATTTCCAGGGTTGTTCAGCAAAATGAATTAATACATGTCATCTGATCAGAAGAATGGCATATGGGAAGCACTCAGTGTTTGCTTTTCTAAAGTAAAGCTGTTCTGAGAAGTGTCTAATAAAATATTTCAATACAAAGCATCATGAGTACTCTTTAGTCTTTGTGAGAAGGCTCCCAAACTTGTGAAGGAAACAGCAAAACCTTGTGTCACTGTGAGCAATCTCTGGACATCTATCCTGTGGAAAGGAGTTTTGTACTCAGACAGGAAGCAGCAAGAAGGACATAGACAGTTAATAATAGATCAGTGAAGGGCTCTCGAGAGTGACCGTGAAAATTAAGGGGAAAATAAATTCTTACACTCTCCATTAACTTTCATTCTATTTAACAATACTAACTACAAAAAGCCAGGCAAGGTTTGCTTTGCTTTGGAAGATGGGAGACCCAGCCATTACTATACTGTAAGTGGGAAGATGATGAAGTTAGTGACTTGGTAAGGCCCCCAAGGAGGGACAGAGTTGGGATCAGGGTCAGACTGGAAGGGGACACAACTGCTCCACGGTCAGTGACTTGGGGAGAGATGACTGTAGAAGCTGTTGGATGATGATGCTGTCCCTTCAGAGGATAGTTTTCTTCCATTCTCTGCATCCCCTTTGCCTCCTCAAAGCACCCAAAGGAAATGCCAGCACTGAGCCCAACCTGTCCTGACTCCACCTGTCCCTTCCAGATACAGCCAGTCTCCTAGAATTCCTCATCACTGTACTCCTCTGCACCCTGCCCCACCCTAGCCTTGAAGCTTGGGCTGTGGTCACACCCTCTTCACAGTACCCCCATGCCCTCCCCATCCCGTCCTTTTAACAAGAGGCCCGGAGCATATGGGAGATTGCACAGGGTCCTGTCCCCAACACACGACTTGCTGGGTGACAGCGGGCAAGTTTTGCTTCACCTGGGAAATGGGGCAACCACAATCCCTTCCAGCCAGTGTTCTGCTGAGGGCCGGAAGGGATGACGCTGGAAGCTGTAAAGCAGAGGCTGGCTGGAAGTTATCAGAAGAAAAAGAAAAGCTCCTTAGGACAGTCACATGACTAAGGTTGGCTATTTTACTTTATTCAGCTAACAGTCACACTCTGGGCCCCACCAAACTGCTCCTCCATCCCTGCCTGAGGTCTGCCCTGGGAGGAAGCTCAGAGGGGAACAAGAAGCCTCAGGTCCCCAACATGGGCCTTATCTGTCACCACACACATCACACACCTTAGAACAAAACCACTGCTCTGGGTCCTTAGGAGCCACCCCAGTGAGGTTTAGGGGGCCCTCCAGTGTTCAACACCACGTCCAGGACCTCAGCCCCAGGTACAGAGCCCCTGCTCCCTCAGATGTCACCCAGGGCAGGGCTGAGAGACTCCATCTCCAGCTATGGGGATGCTGAACCTTGACCCTGGCCCTGCCATTTGTCCATGCTGGGAAAGAAGCAAAATGTATGAAAATACTTTAATCATTTCTTTGAAACGGTTAAGAAATAAGATCGTCGTTTTTCTTTTTCGATCCCAGTAAAAAAAAAGTTCACATTAGCGCCTGGGCCCAAAGTCAGGCTCTTTCCAACCAAGTCGGCCACTCAGTAGAAACGCTTGTTCCGCTCCTGGCGCTTCTGAAACACCACAGCACCCACCACTGCACAGACAATGATGCCCAGGAGCGCACACAGCAGCAGCAGGAACACCCTCCACCCTGTCAGGGGACCACTTCGGAAGTTCCCCGTGGGGTCGTCCACGTTGTCTGAGGGAGAAGAAAAGGGGAGATGAGTGGGCAAAGGGGGTGGCCTCCAGGAAATGTGGCTAACAGGACCGTGCCAGCCAATCCCAGCGTCAGGGCTACCATCTCAGGGGGCACCACATTCATCCTACATGTGGGACAGTGCTGGTTGGAGTGCGGTGTCTTGTGGCCACACACTGGCCAGGAACAGAGACTGCACTGTGCTGACCACAGCTGAGCTCTCAAGTCTATAATGGGGAGGGCAGGAGTGGAAAGAGGACCAATCCCACAGGGACCAAGGTCCCAGGAATCAAGGCCTGTGCTGCATTCTGCCGCAAGGCACTGGTTAAAACTAGAGATTCCCAGGCTCCTTCCTAGAGAGCCTAGTTCTGTACAGGGAGAGGCCCAGGGGTCTGATTCATGAGCAAACCCCTTCCCCCAAATCTGGAGAAACACAGCCCTTACCAAAGGCTGCTCTCATCCACAGCTGGAGGATGTTGGTAGCTTCCAACCTCCTAGGCTGTCTTCCATACCCTGAGCCCACTCGCTACCCCCTGTATACCTCTCCTGCTCTGGGCACATCACTCCTTTGTTCCCCAACTGTCAAGAGATCCTGCTAGGTGCTAGGCCCTGATGTGTGGATCCTCATAGATCCTGACCCCTCTGGGATATGGCACCCTTGTGACTTTCCCTGAAAGTCTGAGAAAAGGAAATGACCAGGCCATGAATGGGGGAGGTGGGAGCTGGACTGAGCTTGTTTCAGCTACTCAGCCTCCTCCCAACTGCAATCCTCTGCTCTACATGAGGCTCACCACAGCTCACCCAACCTGAGCTCTTGGCCTATAGGAGCTGAGGCAGGCCAGCCAGCACCATTTCCCCAAGGCAGGACTGATCCAAGAGCCCAGACCACAGCCATTACTGGATCAGGAAGGGCAAAAGGACCACAGAATGCACTTGAGGCTCAGGCAGTGGGGGACCATATTCACACATACCTTTGGGAGACTTGAAGAAGTTGACACTGGGCTCAATCTTGGTCCAGTCAATGTTTTCCTCATCAGGAGTGTGCTCTACCATAAGCTGGAATAGCTTGATGGAGATGATGTCATGATTGTCTACAGGACCAAGAACGCACATGTAATGGCCTATAGCCAGCCTAAGGGTGATGGCCCAAGGCCTTCTCCAAAGAGAAAGCACTGGCCTGGCCATGAAGAGCTACTTCTGCCCATCATTATCCTCTTTTCTTCCCTGCTACCTCCAGCCCCCAGGAAGACAGTATTCTAGGAAATCTAGGAGGGATGAGGATGTAGCTCAGTGGTAGAGGGTGTGGTTAGCAAACCTGTGCACGCTAGTGCACACGCACACACAGAAAAGAGAAGCTGGGCATGGTGGCAGATGCCTGTAATCCCAGCACTCAGGAGACTGAGGCAGGAGGATTGCTCCAAGTTCGAGGCCAGCCTGGGCTACATAGTGAGTTCAGGGCCAACCTGAACTACATAGCAAGACCCTGTCTCAAAAAAACCAAAAAAAAAGAAAATAAAAGAGAAACTTAGGAGGAAGTGACAGAATAGCAGGAAGAGAGCATGAGCTTTATGTTCAAAATCATCTGAGTGTAAATCTCATGTCTACTGTCCTCTTTGAGGCTCAGTTTCTTTATTTGTAAAATGGGAGTGATAAGATAATCTTCCTTTAGGGCAGTCACCATGGCAAGTTAATGAGAACATATACAGAACATGAAAGATATACTGCTGCCAAAGGGTAAGTACTTAAAAGAGACCAAGGCAAGGGCTTGGCTGAGAAGCCTGATCCTCCGGAGGGCAGGAAGCTGCTAGATGCTCCTGTCAAGAGATCCATGTGTAGGCTGCAGATAAACAAGTCAGCCTCCAGCTAAGGAACAGACCCAAGACACAGTTACTGTACTGAGGAGACTTGGAAAAGGTACAGTCCAAAGAGCATGGGCAGGAAAGAACCTCTGCTTGACACCAATAGTTCATCCTATTTAAGAGATACGAAGCTTTCCTGGCCAGGCTGACTCTAGCCATAGGCTCGGTGAACCAACTGGAATCTGGGGAAAGGTCTTGTTTAAAGAGGAGAGCAGAACAGGGGCCTTATCAGAACATTCTCTCCTCTTCGGGGTATAAAACTGAAAGTTCCCTATTAAGCTCTGCATGGCAGTGCATGCCTGTAATCCCAGTACTCTGTGAGGCTGAGCCAAGGGGACTGCAAGTTCAAGCCTAGCCTGGGCAACTTAGCAAAACCGTGTCTCAGAAAAAAAGGGCAAGGGATGTAGTTCAGTATGGAGGTGCTGCTTCAATCCTCAGTACTGCTCCCCTGCCAAAGTTCTCTATTAAACTTTTTTTTTGATACTGGGGATCGAATTCAGGACCTTGCACTTGGGAGATAGCCGCAGTGCCACTGAGCTAAATCTCCGGCCCTCTATTAAACTTTAAAACCCCCAATGGACATTTTGGGATTTCTGGGATTAAGAGGACATATGCACTTCCCTGGAAAGAGGGGAGGCCACTCGCTGTGCCCAGCGTTACAGGGCCTGAATATCCAGAGGATAAATAAGCCCTTTGTTGAGTCAAACACATCTTCTCCCAGTTCTGCTCAGTAGGAGCTGGCCCTGGCCCTCGTGCCTTCCAGATGTCCCTAGTAGACAACTGAGCAAAGACAAGGACCATGAAGTGTCACCTAGGCCTGTTGACTCAGCATGGCCTGTATAGGCCAGAGGCATGCTGTTTCCTGAGTATCTACTGTGGGCCAAATGAGAAGGATCCTTGACTACATGGAGGTTACAATTTAGATAGTGGGAAAAAACCCACAGAAGATAAAATAAATTTTACACTTGAAAGAAACAAAATAAAGAAACATGCTATAAAGAAAAAAAAAAGATAGGAAAGGTGATGGAAAGTATGCTGGGGACTGGAGAGAACACAATTTTAAATGAGGGAGTCAGGGAGGCTCCACTGTGGAGGTAGTACTTGAGCAAGACCCAGCTGGAGGCCACTATAAGGAGGGAAGAAGCAAGCCCTGAGTGAGGTGTGATGAGGTGTGGTGAGGGGCCTGGGATAGGTCTCTTGACTCGGAGTGAGATGACAGCCACTGCTGTGCTGAGCAGTGGGGGCAACCTCTTGTAGGCTCAATTCGATTATTCTGGCTGTTGCACCAGGGAGAGAATAACAGGGGCCAGTGTAGAAGAAGGGGGATCGCTCAGGAGGCTCCAGTGAGAGATGATGGTGGCTTGAACTCTTCAAGTAGTAAGAGAATGGAGACACTGAGCAGGCCACTACTTACACAGGTCTGGAGATAGAATCTAGACATCGACAGTGTCTAGATTCAGCCTCTAATTTCCCAAAGATAAAGAAAGACTGCCAATGAATTGCTCAAGCTCTGGGCCTACCTACAATTACAGACAACAGGAAGAGAAGAGAGAGAGTGACTATGGAGACCAAAGGAAGAAAGGTAATTAACTATATGATAAGCTTCCAAGAGAAGACTCAGGCTGGGAATGAATTCCTCATTCAGCCCAAATACTCACCAGACAGGTCGCCAGTGCCAGCTGAGGCTCCAAAGTAGTAGCCGGTGGGCAGGCGCACTCCTACGATGTCGATGCAATTCTTCCACTCGTTCTTGTCCTCCAAGTCAGTCATCACCTGTGGCCAGCCAACAAGTCAGGCACACCTGCAGGCTTGAGCCAGCCGCCTTCCTGAGCCTCCACAGAACCACCACGGGCTCAACTGGCCTCCTCCCTCACACTTGCTCACCGTCAGGCGGCCCCGAGAGTAGCGCACAGCCAGGAAGGTATCGTGGTCCCGGTTGCGGAAATCAGCTGTGCAACCTGCCAGCTCAGTCCAGTGCCCATCCTTGCTGTGGTCGTAGGACAGGGAGCCATTGTTCACCATCACCGAGATGTACGGGAACACACGCTGGGACAAAGACACTGGTTATTCCATGAATGGCCCAGCCTACGGGAGGAAGGTGGGTGCCCACCATTCCAATCCCTAGACTCCTTTTGTGCCAGGACCAGGAAGAAGTCCCAGTTCCCAACCTTTAGCCAACTGCCCAGTCCTTGCTTTCCTGTTCCACAGGAGAGAACAAGGCCCTACCTCAGTGGTCTCATCATTGGGATATGTGTCCAGGAAGATGGCTAAGCCATGGAAGTTATCTTTGCTTCCAAACACAGGCCCTGGAATTAGAAGGAAGTAGTCTCACAGTGGGAAAAACTAGAATGTCTTACGGGTAGCTCAAAAGCAATGTAGGCAGGGGCTGGAAATCATTCACCCAGGAGAGAAGGGAAACTCTGAAGGACAAAGCCCAGGTGGGGTTGGGAAGGATGCTGGGGTGCAGGGAGCCTGACCTGAGCAGACAGCCACGTGGCCATGTGCTCTGAGGCCAGTGTCAGGGGTCAAGGGGGTACCTAGTCTACAGATAGAGCCACAGGAAAGATCCCTTAAACCAGGGGCAGCAAACTTTCTGTAAAAGGCCACAGAAGAAACATTTTTGGTTGTAGGCTATGTACAGTCTCTGTGAAATAGTCTTCATGTTTTACCCTCTAAAAAAAACAACCCTAGCAGGGCCTGGTGGTACACACCTGTAATCCCAGTGGGAAAGAAGATCACAGGTTCAGGCCCAACCTGGGAATTTAGGGAGATTCTATCTCAAAATAAAAACTAAACAAAGGGTTAGAGGTGCAGCTTAATACAATGGCCCTGATTCAATCTCCAGCACTGAAATAGCAACAGACACCTCAAAATGACAGAATGGCCCCAATCAGGCCATGAAGGGGAACAGTGTTGAGCTGGGAGATTTAGCTGCCCTCCTTTCCTAAGAGGTCCCCCTTCCAGAGCCAAACTCCTTCCTAAAGTACAGAGTTTTCTCTATGAGCAGAAGCAGGGTCTCCTAACAGGATGGTGCAGAGCAGAAGATCTTCGGCCACAGAAGCAGAGAGAAATCCCCTTGTTCTGCCTGCTGCTACCTCCCTGGTAGACTGGCAGCCATGGTCATGCCTGCCCCAACCTCTCCAGCTCAGCAGCACCCACCTGGCTGAGGAAGCAATGCCCTACCTGGCACAAGGCGGTCCCGGGTGTACCACAAGGCAATGCCATCTCCGTGAAGATTCTTCTTTCCCGTGCCGTGGACTTTGAAGTGGACATGCATCTCCCAGTCCTTGAGGAAGCAAGGCTGGAGGAGGGGCAGAGAGGGCTGCTCAGAGATCCCCAGCCTTTAAACAAGCTGGGGGTGATCTGGCACAGACTCTGCCCACATCCCTATTTTCCCAATCCCATGAAGACCACGCACCCACTCCTTGCCCCAGGGTCAGGCAGCAAGGTCATAAGCACTGCTGAACCCAGACTCCCAAATGAAAAGGGAAAACCACACAGTTCCCAAGGCTGCCTGAGGCCCAGCCTCTGCCAACCCAGGCCTACTCTTATACTCTGACTGCCAGCCAAACCCTTAACTGGTTTCATCTCCACCCCCCACTGCTCCTACTCTGGGATCTTGCAGAAGAAAAATAATAATTTTTAGGCAAAACAATTTGTCCACAGAAGATGAGAGCATGGTCTTGATTCTTACCCAGGTCTATCTGAGTCCAAAACTTTTAGAACTTTCAATGATACAAACAGCCAGCTACATCACTTGTGCCATAGGTTCACCACCACTATTCTAGGTTTTCTAAGACCTTCAGGCCTTTAATATAAGTTGTACTCTTTTCTACCCACGCCACCCCCACCTTCTCTTATAACCAACCTTTCAAAGTGAGGAAAAATCAGACTGAGGCAGTTTTACCAGATTCAAACCCAGGTCTGGCTGACTACAAGGCCCAACTCTTGGCCAGAACACCTCCTACAAGCCCAGTTCAGGCCCAAGAATAGGGGCTCATCAGGGTGGTGCTCCCAGATCTCTGGGCTGCCATGTTAGAGAAGCAGATAATTCCTGGCAGACACAGTCACCAGATACCTACAGCAAGGTAAACACCCTGCCCTTCCCTACCAGGAAGCTGCTCATGAAAACCAAGGTCAACACAAACTTTGACAAGAGTCCATTTTAGGGAAGTCAATGGATGGGCATGTGAGCAAGTGATTAAATACCCATCAGAAAGGTAAACTAAAACAAGAGATATTGTTGATCTATCAGTGTGGCAGCTATTAAAAAGATCATTAATATGGAAAACAGAAGAAGACACAAAGAAATAAGCACTTTCAAACAACTGGTGAGACTATAAATGATCCTATCTTCGGGGAAGGGGGGGATCTGATTGCATCTTTTTAGTTTTTATTTTTATTTTTTTTCTGATTGCATCTTTTTAACAGAATAAAGCAGATCCCAAAAATATTTACATCCAAAGATATCAAAGATACTAAGAGGAGAAGTAACTTGTAAATAATATCAGGGCTATAGTCCCATTTTGGGGATGGAGTAATTAAGAAAAAAACAAAACATGAACGGATATTAATGTTAGGTCATTATGAGAGAATTGTGGAGAATGTTTACTTTCTATGTTTGGATACTGTATAACAAACACGTTACTTCTGTTACCAGGAAAAACTCTTATCAAAAATAGATGTACCTGGGGCCGGGGATTTAGCTCAGTGGTTCTGCCACCTCCCTCTTAAGCGCAAGGACTCAAGTTCAATCCCCAGTACCAAAAAAAAAAAGGATGTATCAAGGGCTGGGGATTTAGCTCAGTGGCACAGTGCCTGCCTCTCAAGCACAAGGTCCTGAGTTCGATCTGATACCAGAAAAAAAGAAAAAAGAAAAGAAAAATAGATGTACCAATGTTGGCAAACAGCTTCACTGTTCATCTCTGGGTACTGAACACCCAGATGATGGGACCCAGCCTGAACCCTGAGAACATGGAGCTAACAAGGACCTGCATGACAGATTGCATATAGCGCAAAACTTCAGAGTCTTTCCAATTCTGGGAACATTCAGAGTCTGCTGGGCAACTAAGAGATGATGAGAACCAGCTCTCAAGGACAGGACAAGGAAACTGAGTGAAATGCCTACTGAGGACTATGGAGAGCTTGCTTTGGGCTAGATTTGCACAAAGATTATAACTCTGAAGTAACAGTGCACTAGAAAGGCTCTCCCAGGGACTCAGCTCAGCTTTGAGTCCTTGCCCTTCCTGAAATCAGACTAAGGTGATTCATCCAGGGCTCAAGTTTTTCTACAAACAATTGTACAAATGCAGTATCTGGCACACAATCATAAATGACCAGGCAGACAAGGAGAAACAGTATGAATAAAACGAAGAGAGAAAGAAAAGTCAACAGGAATTCCAGGTACCAGACTTTCAAATATGTTCAAGGAGACAAAAGACAAGATTCAGAATTCAGGAAGATAACTAAAATTTTAAAAATTCACACTAAAAGTATACTAGAACTAAATAGAATAACATAATGGACAGATTTCATAACCAACTAAAAGCAGTAGAAGCCATGTGTGGAGGCAAATACCTATAATCCCAACTACTCAGAAAGTGAAGCAGGAGGATCACAAGTTAGGCAGCAAGTCCTTGTCTAAAAAAGAAAGAGAGAAAGAGAGAGAGGAAGGAAGGAAGGAAGGGAGAAAAAAAGGAAGAAAAGGCTGGAGATGTAGTAGCTCAGTGGTAGAGCACTTATCCAGCATAAGCAAGACTCTGAGCTCAACGCCCTCCCTACATAAAACAGCAAAAGAATGAATTAGTGAACTCAAAGCCATTAAGATAAAAATATCCAGGAATAGACAGAACAAAAGAATAACAGAGAGAGGAAAGACTGAGAGAATCTAAGGCCTATGTAGTTGGAGTTCCAGAATGAGACGTAAGAGAATGGCACAAAGGAATAGAGATATCTAAACACTTAGTAAAAGTGGTTCAAAGATATCAAGTCACAAACTTTAAAAAGTCCTACAAGGGTGCTTCCCTAGTATGAGTGAGGCAACAAATGAAAAGAATTCATTACCAACAGATTCACACTTTCATTCTTCATGGAGAAGGGAAATGATCTAGATCCAAATGTAAAGTCAGACGTTGAGGGAGGAATGAAGAATGACGAATACAATAAATAAGAAGGTAAAAATCTGTACAAATATTTGACTGTATAAAACAATGTGTTGGGTAATATTTTTTTTTTTGGTACCAGAGTTCGAACTCAGGACCTTGTGCTTACAAAGCAGGCCTGGTACCACTGAGCTAAATCCCCAGCCCCTGTGTTGGGTAATTTAAAACAGATGGATTAAAATACATGCAGCAATAGGGTAAATGGAGTTAGTATCCTAAGATCCTTGCATTGTCCAGAAAGAAAGTAAAAGTACACATTATTCTTAAAACAGTAAAACATGGATGGATATTTCAAATTCTAGGGTAACCACTAAAAAACCCAGAAAAGAGCATATAACTTTCAGTCTAATAGAAGAGGAAAAACAATAAAAATTAATCCAGGGCTGGGGATTTAGCTCAGTGGTTCAGCTCCCTGCACCGCCTGCCCTGTAACCCCCAAGGACCCCAGTTCAATCCTCAGTACCAAAAAAATTAATCCAAAAAGTCAAGACCAGGAAGAAAAATGCAGAGAAAATAGGTGATACAAATAGAAAGTAAAGTAAGAAAGCCTAAAGGAATGGAGCTGGCCAACCACAGACTGAGAGCTCTGGGACCCTGAGGCAAAATAAACCTTTCTTCCTTTAAATTGACTTTCTTAGGTATTTTGCCACAGTAATGGGAAGTTGATTGATATAAATGCATACTTTATGGTAAATTTTGTATAATGTACATTTTACCACAATAAAAAAATTAGGAATTCAATTTTTCATGTGCAAATATATAAGCACAACAGTCAAAATTAGTAGCTGTGGGTACCCATTACATTTTTAAAATTCCATTGTTTCAATGTCAATGTGTATCCTACTGAAGAGAATGGTTTTGTAAATTATTGGGGATTGAGCTTTGCACTGAGCTACATGCCCAACCTTTTTTATTTTAAGACAAGTTCTTTTTCTGGTTTGTTTGGTTTTTTTTGGTACCAGGGACTGAACTTGGGACCTTGCGCTTGCAAAGCAGGCACTGGAACCACTGAGCTAAATTCCCAGCCCTGGTTTTGTAAATTAATTGATTTAAAGGTTAAAAAGTTTAAAACAGGGCCAGGGGAATAGCTTAGTGGTGCTGGCAAGTGCAAGGTCGAGTTTGATCCCCAGTACTGCAAAAAAAAAAAAAAAAAAAAAAAAGTTTAAAGTAATAATTTTTTAATACATTTTCCTACAATAAAAATAAATAACCTTCTCAGAGCATAATGTTTTCCTATTTACAAAAGATGTTTCTAAAACATAACAAAATGAAAGACAAGGCACAAGGTCAGAAAAAGATATTATGCAAACACTAACTAAAAGCAAACTTATGTAGCTATACCAAATTATTATTATTTTTTTTTGGTACCAAGGATCGAACTCAGGACCTTGCGCTTGGAGGCAGGTGCTGGAACCACTGAGCTAAATCCCCAGCCCAGCTATACCAAATTTTGTATGTACCTAAGCTAATTTAGCCTAAAATATATATAAAACAGAAACTGACAACTACAAATAGACAAAACTACACACAGAAATTTTAACATACAGTACTTCCCTTAGTAACTGATAAAAATGAACAGACAGTGGGGTCAGGGATTTAGCTCAATGGTTCTGCCGCCTGTCTCGTGAGCACAAGGTCCTGAGTTCAATCTCCAGTACCAAAAAAAAAAAAAAAAGAACAAGACAAAAATGTCAAGAAGAATGTAGAAGACTTGAATTCAATCAGTAAATTTGACCTAAAGAACTTAAATGGCACACAAGTCTACAAATAGAGAAATTCATATTCTTTGCAAGCACACGCCAAAGTCTGACCACTAGAGGATCCATTCTCAAGACTTAACAGACATTCAAGAGACTGAAATCCTTAACCACAATATAATTAAACTAGATACTGATAGTTTAAAAAATTTAAAACTATATCTCACATATACAAAAGTCAGCTGAGAAACCACACTTCAAATGGTTTGTTTGTATCCAGTTTTCTGTACTTGGAGACAATGTACGCTGGTTCAAGGTGTGCCTTGGAGTGAAAGGGCAAGCAAAAGGGAAAAGGCAGAGAGGGGAGGAAACCTACACTCCTATCCCAGCCACATCCACTGGGAGGTCAGCTTTAGGAAAGGACACATATGGAAGTGGAGGGCCTGGAAACTGATTCCTACAAGTCTATTCGGGACTTAGAACCATCAATGTACCCCAGACCAAAGACTGCAGATGTGCAGACAGACACACTATAACACAGATAAGGCCTCTGAGAGACCTGAAGTAAGTGAGGTATGTATTAGAATTGACTGAGAAGCTGCTTTGCAGGCCACAGTTCTCAACTCTGGCTGCACAACAGTCTCAACTAGAAAGCTCAGAAATCTTACTGCCTCGAGCCGGGGATTTAGCTCAGTGGTGCTGCAAGCCTGCCTCACAAGCACAAGGTCCAGAGTTTGATCCCCAGTACCGAAAAGAAAAGAAAGAAATCTTACTGCCTTGGATCAGCTACAACAGGCAAAGAAAATCAGAAATCACCTGATAAGACCAGATGAGTTTTTTTTACAGTCAGGCAATTTCCACTTCTTTGCTTGTAAGAAGATGGAAGGCAGCTTTACTCTAACAGCTTAGATATATCATTAATAGTTCTGATGAAAGATCATTACATGATTTGCAGTTATAAGCCAAAAGAAATTCAAAATATTGAGTGGCCCTGTTAATTCCAAAACTCCATCTATACCTATTATTTAAGTGAACAGTTTCTCAGGACTCACATATATAGGGCCAGGGATTTAGTTCAGTGGTGCTGCGCCTGCCTCACAAGCACAAGGTCCTGAGTTTGATCCCCGGTAACGAAGGAAAAACAAAAAAATAATTCACATATATAAAAACAAAAAGCAGAAGTGGCACTGAAACCTGCCTGATAGTAGCATCCACCCAGATGTTAGGGAAAACAACATCTCACTGTTCATCCCATTTAATTTCAGTAAGTTTTTACTGTTGTATAATAGCTCTTCAAAAATCATGTAATGGGGCCGGGGATTCAGTTTAATGGTGCTGGCACCTGCCTCAAAAGTGCAAGGTCCTGAGTTCGATCCCTGGTACAAAAAAACCCGAAAAACCAAAAATCGTATAATGCAGCTCGGGATGGTAGTGTGTGCCTATAGTTCCAGCTACTTGGGAGGCTAAGGGAGGACTTTGAGACTGTCTAAAAAAAAAAAGGTTGTGTAATACATTTATTTTGATAAGTTGTATACTAACAATCATAATCTCAAAGAAAAAACGAGTTAGTTTGAGCCAGTGTGTGGCACACACCCATAATCTCAGCACTCAGGAGGCTGAGGCAGGAGGATTGCTTCGAGTTTGAGGCCAGCCTGGGCTGCATAGTGAGTTCAAGGTCAGCCTGAACTACCTAGCAAGACCCTGTCTCAAAACAAACAAACAAAAAGTTAGTGTGAAGGTCTCAACAAAGTTAAAAAGTTGTAACACTTATTTAAGGTTGCAGAGCATTATGATAGGGCAATGAATAAGAGATCTTCAAGCATTAAATACATGAACATAAAATTTTGTGTGGGAAATGAAAATGAAAACAATTTTAAAAATACACAAGTTGAGTTTACTCTGTTTTTATAAAGTGGATACCCATTAGCAATATTTACACTGAATATTTAAGAGTACTAACAAGTTGTTTTAAAATGTCAGCACTTAAAATATGCTGGAGGGCCGGGGATTTAGCTCAGTGGTTTTGCCACCTGCTGCGCAAGCCCAAGGACCGAGTTCGATTCCCAATACCAAAAAAAAAACCAAAACAAATAAAATATGCTGGAAACTATATCCTTTGCAATTGAAAAAAAAGAACCCCACTAGGGCCAGGGATTTAGCTCAGTGGTTCCAGCGCCTGCCTCGAAAGTGCAAGGTCCTGAGTTCAATCCCTGGTACCAAAAACAAAACAAAACAAAAACCCACTGTCGGGGATCAAACCCAGGGCTTCTACATAAGTGCTCTACCACTGAGCTACACTGCTACACCTCTGGTCCCTTTGTAAATTTTTGTTGGTTTGTTTTTATTTTTTGTGACAGGATCTTGCTATGTAGTTCAGTCTGGCCTTGAACTTACTATGCAGCCCAGGCTGGCCTTGAACTCACAGCAATCCTACCTTAGCCTCCCTAATTCTGAGATCACAGGGGTGCACTAACATAGCCCACTAAGTACTTAAGATGATTTTTTATATCAACTTTTATAAGGGACAAAGAGAAACAATTTTGGACTGGAACATTAGTTAATAAAAAATATCTTAAGACCACTGCTGAAGGCTCCATACAAGATATCCTCAGGATGGGGCCTGAGCAGCCACTCTCTGTGTCCTGTGCTCCAGCTATCAGACACCTGGAGCTCTAGTCACTTTAGAGCTACATTACATCTCAGAAGACAGCAAAACTCAGGGAGTCTTTGCTAATTCAGTGTCTCTCCCAGATAAAGTGAATGGAGACAAAAGAAGAAAATGCAGAAAGCATCTCTTCAGCTCAGTGAAGAGAGAAGTAGTTCTTGGGAAACACTGAATAGAAATGCTTATGAGTTCCAAGCAACTTTGTTGAGGAAGCATAGCAGGCACTACAAATAGGGCCCAACTGGAAAGATCCCTGGAGCTGAAGGGGGACATGGGAGAAGAAAGGAATAATGATATTTTAGACTGAAAATTTGATAAGAGCAAGTATAGAATGCTCTCAGTCCTGTGACATCTCCAAGCCACTGAAAATGCCAACCATTAGCTACCTATAATCATAATTTAAACTAACTTCTTGGATATAAGGATTCCTTGTAACTAAACCCAATTTCTAACAATTCTAATACTATTTGTGCCTTGCTTTTTTTTTTTTTTAAACTCCATAGTGAACTCATTTCTGTGAAAAATACAAAGGTATATTATGTTTTAAAATTGGCGAGGCTAGGGGTAGAGCAGAGCACTTGCCTAGCATGTAAAAGGCTATGAGTCTGACCCTGGGGGTGAGGGGAGCCCTAAAACAGAATAATGTGACAGAATGTGATTAGAGGAAGAAAAGGTAGTTAATTAAATACTCATTGAGTGGGTGGCACTTGAACTGAGACTTAACAGAAGGAACCAGGGAGGCATGAAGAACCAGGAGGCAATGTCCCAGATATCGGGAACAAGTGCAAAGGTCCTGAGGCAAGAAGGCAGTCAGAGACGCTGGAACAAAATTAACAGAATGACTAAAGATGCCAGGCTCTAGGGGCCAGATTGTACAGACAGAAGGTGCAATTACCCTTCACAGGAGACCCCAGGCTCTAAGGATCAGAGCAACAGCTGAAGAAAGCACAGATGCCTTTAACAGCAGTGTGGTAGCATGAAACAGGAAGAGAGATGAGGCAACACAAGGACAGCGTGGGCTCCCACAACAAAATGAGAAAGTCAACCAGAAGGGACAAGAGAGCAGAGTGATGGAGAAAACTAGGACACTGGCCAATGTGTAGGCCATGGGAAGGGTTGGGTCAAGAAGACTAGGGAAGAAGCAGATTCCTTCTAAATCTATGACCCAGCCCCAAATAATTCCCTTTTCATCCCTTTTCCAACTTACATTTCCTCAGTGCAAACAATGGGTAGCAGATGATCTTGGCCACTGTTCATGTACAACATGCCATTGACACCTCAGGCTCCTCGATCTCCAGGGGAAAAGGCACCAAAATCAAAACTGCCCACAAGTAGACTCTCGTGATGACAAGACCCTCAACCAAGCACTGGAGAAGAGGACTAAGCCTGCAAAGATGTCAAAGGGCTTCTTCTACTGTCCAGAGGAAGGAGGCCAATTGTTTCTAGTTCACTGCTGAACTTGGAGATCGGACAGATTAGTTTAAATACTGTTTATGTAATTTATTGGCTGTATTAGCTCTGCATAAGGTCAGGAAAGCCATCTACTTCAAGCAGCCTGCTTGAGAATTAAATGCAACAGAGCATGGCAAGGTCAATGCCTAAAAAACAGCCAAATACCCAATAAAGATTCAGTTTGCTTCATTTTTCCCACCACCGAGGGGGTACTTCAAACAGTCTGACAGTACCACTATTTTCTGGCTATGTGACTTTGGATAATGTACTTTCAACTATGAGCCTTAGCGCCTTAGTAAAATGGTGATAACATCACTTAACTCGCCTGGCTTTTGAACAAATCAAACGAGGAAAGTGTAAAGCCTCGACCACAGCTCCTGCCACAAAACTACTCAATATCCATTGCCTCTAATTGTTGATGAGTGAGCAACAAGGGGTTGGAGTGGGGAAGAGGGGGCACGCCCAAGCTCAGGTCTTGGCTGGTGGGGAGGCAGTGGCTCACTGAACCGCATGTGTCTAGCCTCATGGAGACCACTCACCTGGTGGTTCCAAATAGAGCCTTCTTTGCTGCGCTCATCAGGGGTCAGACGCACGTACTGGCTCGTGAGCATAGTACTGCCTTGGAAGTCCCAGAGAGGCATGGAGCTGGAACCAACCCCTGTGGGCAGAAAGACGGGCACAGACAGGTGCGTAAGAGGTCATTCCAGGACTGGCCTTGCCAGAGGCAGGAAACCCACAGAGCTGCTCTGCCCAAGGAAGAAGGGCATGCCCTCCCTCAACCCAGTCCAGCCTCACCCTCAACCATCGCTGGTGCCCGCTCCAGGCCTCACCTTGGTAGGGTTTAATGAGCGAATGCTCCCGCTTGAGGTGTTCACTGTTGCCGTCAGTTATATCCGCAGCCACCAGCCCCAGCAACATAAGAATATGTACAAGTGTAGCGGGGCTGGGGCCGGGGCCAGGAAGCCCAGGCCTCCCTGGGCAACGCTGGCCCCAGCCCCAACGCCAAAACCAACCCTCTGCCGCCATTCTCCGCTTCTTTCGGCCACTTCCGCCCTAAGATTTCCGCCTTCCGGGTGTCCTATCTAATGGCCTCCGGCCGGAAGCCCTCCAATTTCAGCGTCACCCAGGAGTTAAAAAGCAAACCTTTGCTGACGAGGGGGCCTCGCCTTTATTGGCTGGACAGCCTCCAATCCTGATCAAATACTGTTCCATCACCTTGTAAGCGCCAAGGAACCTGCAGGCCGGCCTCGGCAACGGGATTTTAGAAACGACAGGAGTTGCAGCCAATCACGGAACAGCACGTTAGGTTCCAGGGCCACTGAGAAACAGGAATAGTTTGAGCAGGGCAGCGCGAGGGTCCGCTTCGAACTAGGGGTGCTGGAACTTGTAGTTTTTATGCGCTGCTTGAGCGGGCGGACCGTAACAAAGACTGCTATGCTCGAGGCCGCTTGGGCTGAGGTCCATGATCGCGCCTCTTCTTCCCGTTAAGTGGGAAAGGGAGCTTTAAATTTAAACAGGATGCCTAGAATCCTACCCCTCAAACTACCTAGAACTCTGGGTAGCCCGGGGCGAGCCTTTAAACTGTCCCAAGCTTTAACTGCCCCAGCCAGCTCCTCGCCCGTTGAAAGCTAAATTCTCAGTTATTTAGTAGCCTTCAACTACACCCAATTCCGCAGGCCCAGTTCAGGTTGAAACCAGAGGAGCAGGTACGCATCCTGCCTTGGGACCCCAGCGATGGTTGGAACGCATTTAGATCCAAACGATAACAGTGCCCACTACAGCAAGAAGGATCAATGCAAAAGTCCAGGAAGGCTGGCTGTGATTATGAGGTCAAAAACTAGTGGCCTGCAGCCAGAGAACTGGTTTACCTGCTAATGCTTTTTATTTTATTTTTTTGGTACCAGGGATCCAACTCTAGTCCTTACGCTTGCAAGGCAGGCGGCAGAATCACTGAGCTAAATCCCCGGCCCTGCTAATGCTATTTTAATGAATGCTTTAAATGCCAACATTTTTTAAGCCATGGTACTTAAAATGCACATCAGAAATCCAGGTTTCTGCTTTTTCAAGAACAGTTAGAATATGTAGGTCCACATGTCCGAGAGAGGACAAGGAGCTGGAGCTGAATGGGACTACCTGTCTACAAATGGTTTCCTCCTCTCACCTAGCCACTACCTGGCCACTAATTTACTTGGCAATTGCTGAATTAATGACACCTCATTTAGAGCTCTCAAGGTGTGATGTTGGTTGGTTGCTCCTCTTTTTAAGGAGCTGTCCTCTTGATTGAACATTAAGTACTAAGTCATCTTTTGTGGGTCATATATTTTAATTACTACTTTATCATTAATACATTCTTGTGGTATGTTTGTGCATACACGTTGTGCCTTGATATCCTCATGGGAATTGGTTCCAAGACTGCCACTCTGTACTGAAATCGGAGGATGCTCAAGTCCCTTTCAGAAAATGGCACAGTATTTGCATATAACCTGTTCATACTCTGTTTTATACTTAAATCATCTCTAGATTATTCATACTTAATACAATATAAATGATATGTAAATAGTTGTTAAACATACTGTTTAGGGAATAATGACAGGGAAAATGTCTGTTCATATTCAGTAAAGATGAAACTTTTTCCAAGTATTTTCCCCCATGGTTGAATCTGTGGACGGGGATGTCTGGAGAGAGAGAGAGAGAGAGAGAGAGAGAGAGCAAATGTATGTACAACAAAAGTCCTCTGCCTTTCCCTTCCCAAGGAGTACACCCTTCTAGAGATTTACCTATACCTGGCCACACAAGGACATGTACATTCCACTGGACTGGGGCTGGGATTTTTATCAGCTGCAGTCACTATTGAATCCCTAGCATCTAGACTAGTACACACAAGGAGTAGTTAATTGGTGAGATAATGAATATTTGTTCTAAAACATGAAATTGAGTCATTAAGAATGAGTTGACTTGCCAGGGAGGGGAAAGGCATTCTCAGCAAGGGGAAAAAGAGATGCAAAGGTAGAGAAGACACCTAAAAGTATAAGGAACACAACAGTTTGCAACACATGAGAAGTATGGTGTGAGAGGGAGACTGGCTGAGGCCAAAACTGAAAGAGACTTCAATTTCCAGTTAAGCAACATGGTCTTTTTACAGAATTCAGTGGGGTGACATTAAGAATTTCAGTATCCTGGCTACAATGAGAAGAGCCTGGAGGGGAGTCTGGTAGGAAGACTGAATTCATTATGACCAGATAAGAGAGGGCAAAGCCTAAGCCAAGGAGGTCTCCACCAGGGAAGAGGATCAAAAGTCTCAGTCAGATTAGACATCAGTAACTATTCTGTGGGAAGCCAGTGAGACAGAAGTTGAGAACACTGTTCTATGGGGTAGAAATATTCCAGTACTCTGGTGGAGAAAACTCAATGAGGAGTCCCAGGGTTAGCTGGAGTCTCTGCGGCAGCAATGTGGTTAGAGCTGAAATTGGCATCCCTGGTGGAGAATTGACAGAGGTGTCTCTGCAGTAGCAGGAGAGGACAGATTGAGGAGGGGATCCCTGTGACTAGGCTTTGAGGGGAGGAAGATGAGCTGTTGACCCCTGGCCTAGTGGGGGCTCAGGCTCAGGTCCCAGCACCTAGAACACACATCTTAGCAGATCTCTAACATGATGATGATGTATAGCCTCAGACAACTCACTTCTCTCTGAGCCTCTGTAAAACATAAATGATGAGCACCACTCACAAATGATTTTGAGGATCAAATAGTCTTGTCAGGAGAAGACCCTGGGAACTGAAAACACTCTTTAAGTCCTAGGCCTGAATCCATGGCACAGCAGACTGGCAGTCTCCACTCACGTCACATACTCTACAACCCTCTCATAGGCATTTTTTTTTGGTACTGGGGATCGAACTTGGGTCCTTGTGCTTGGGAGGCAGGTGGAGGAACCACTGAGCTAAATCCCCAGCCCAAAAAGTGCTATTTGAGGCAGAGGTGGTTCCTGATAATTTTGATAAGTAAAATTTCTTTCCAGATGTAATTTTTTTTTTTTTTGGTACTGGGGATTGAACTCAGGACCTTGTGTTTTGAGGCTGGCCACGGAACCACTGAGCTACCCCCCACACACATAGGCACTTTAATAAGACTACTATTGGCAATGTTCCAAGGCCAAAAGTAATACCATCCCCAACCCGTAACAAGCACCAAGTCTGACTGAATCCTTCAGTCTGTGCGGCCTGCACCAAGTGTCTAGAAAGAGGTGAAAAGAGGAGTAGGAAAAGAGGTATATTAATTAAGGCCATAAAAGCTGCTATAACAAGTAAATCCTGGCCAGGCATGGTGGTGTATGCCTGTAATCCCAGCACTGGGAGGCTGAGACAGGAAGATTGCTGTGAGTTTGAGGCCAGCTTGGGCTACATAGTGAGTTCAAGGCCAGTCTGAACTATGCAGTGAGACCCTGTCTCAAAAAACCAAATTAATTAATTAATTAATTAATTAAATACAAAACAAGTAAGTCCTAATGTGTACAACAGCTCAAAGAATTTATTTCCAGAGAGCTGTCCTAACTGTACAAACCTTGTGCTCCAGGCTGGCGATGGCATGCCTCCTTACACTATTGCACAGAATTAAATTCTTCCATTTATGACTCCACAGTTCCACTGGGCCTCATCATGTTCTGTATCCAGCCAGCTGAGGCAGAAAGAGAGCTCATAGCAAACACCTGGTTTTTCATAGCCTTGGCTCAGAAATGACACAGCTTCTCCCTTCACATTCAATTGATGAGAACCAGTCACAGGGCCGCACTTGAGTGCAAGGGAGCCTGGGAAATTAATCTTAGCCATGTGCCTAGGAGGAGGAGGACATGAATTGGTAGTGAAGACCTACCATTAAAAAGTTCAGGTTCCAAGGGGCCGGGGATTTAGCTCAGTGGTTCCACCACTTGCCTCGTAAGTGAAAGATCCAGAGTTCAATTCCCCCCGGTACAAAAAAAAACCACACACACACACAAGAAAAAGTTCTGGTCACAGCCTTAGAAGAGGGCAGTAGGGCCACAAATAGATTATGAAGTAGGTGTTGCCTTGATTGTATAAAAGAAGTAACCCAAACCAGAGTGGTGGGTAACTTGATGTCTCTAGGTAACCCTATGCTTAGAGTAAAATATAAATCCTTGTAATGGGAATGTGCAAGTGTAAGAAGAAAACAACTTGAGGACTCTGGTTAAATGATCTGAGATTACCTGAGGCTGGATTAGGTGTGAGGCTAGGGAGCCAACCTTCAGCTAGCAGAACTTACTATGCTACAATGTGTCTCCCTAAAATTCATATATTTTGACACATTAACAACAATATGATGGTATTTGGAGATATTTATTAGATTAAGTCTATGGGAGGTAATTAGGTCATGAGTAGAGGTAACTTATGATAGGATTCATGCCCCTAAAATAAGATAGCATGGTGCCTGTTTCCTCTCTCTCTCTCTCTCTCTCTCTCTCTCTCTCTCTCTCTCCTCTCTGCAACATGAGGACATAGCAAAAAGAAAGCCATCTGCAAACCAGGAAGAGAGACTTTACTAGACACAGGATCTGCCTACACCTTGATCTTGGACATCCTAGCCTTCAGAACTGTAAGAAATACATATTATATACGTGCTGCCGAAGTGAGCACAAGAAATACATATTGTTAAGCCGCTTAGTCTATGGTGTTTTTCTTCTAGCAGCCTGAGCTGCTACAACAAGATGGTGTTTCTATGTGAGTGAGTACGAATATATACATGTCATTGGCATAGCTGTATCTGATCACTCCCCTATTCAGGTAGAATGAGTGCATACCTGATTACACATGTCAGTGGGGCGTCTGAGTACACACACCTGTGTGCAGGTATGCCTGTCACATGTGCCTGTCACAGAGACTGTGTATGCACAGGACTGAGTGCCCAGCTGCCCCTTATAGGGAAGAGCATTTGTGTTTATGACATGCACACCTGAGTCCACCTGTCTGCATACCTGGGCACATGCACAGATGAAAGCCTCTAGCCATCTGGAATTAGGGGTAGTAACTGTGCACATGCCCAACTGCCTAGGGCAGTGGTGCTGAGCATGCACATACCTGGCACACAGTAGGGATAAGATAAGTATGTGCTGAGTAAAGTACATGTGCAGATGTTCAGGACCAGTGCACATGTGTGCATGTCCATAGGAACCTCTGCCAGAGTGCCAGATACAAAGGTGCCTAGTTGTGTGACAATGCACTTCTGTGTGCTCACACATGAAGTTGGAGCTCCCTAGCAAAGGCAGACCAGGATGGGCTCTTCACTGGGCACAGGGAAGACTCTGCTGTCTATTGGTGCCTCCTTGGGGTGCTGCCAACAGTGCGTTGGTGGTATGTGCATGTGTGCGTGCGTGTGTGTGTGTGTGTGTGTGTGTAGGAAGAGGCGTTCGCTCTCTTAGACTTTGCTTCTTTCTGTGGTTTGGTTTCTATAGAGACACTTCCTGTGGCAGAGAAAAGAGGTAGTGAGCTGGTGTTTCAGGATGTGAGGGCCCGCAGGAGAAGACGGGCTCACTCTGCTGCCTGCCCACCATCGTGCACTCTCTGGCCGGCTCTACCCACAGTCCCCATGGTGGGCTGCCCCCACGGCGGGGACCCGTGATCAGCAGCGGCATGCCAGGGAAACCCAAGCACCTGGGTGTCCCCAACGGGCGCATGGTGAGTGTGGGCTCTGGGCCAGGGCAATGAGGAAGGGTGGGCACGCCCAGGAGACACACCCGGCAGGACCAAGCAAGAGGCCACAGCTACTGGTGGGTGGGAGAAGTTGGGCAAAGACAGCTGCAGGCAGTGGACTCCGGTCCCCTCATTCCAAGACTCTTCCAGATATCCTTGCTAGGACCCTGATGCAACCCAGGGGAATGAGACCAGAGCAAAGAGGACACAGGCTTCTGGTCCAGGATGTAAGTTGGACAACCTACTACTGGCCTCATCTTGAGCTGCCTGCATCTCAGAGTAGCAGGGAGACCTGCTATGCTCCTGGCCCCGGTCCATCTCCACTATGTCCCAAGCCCCATCTTATTTGGCCTCTTCCCTCCCCTCCTCATCCTGTACCCTGGGTGCACAAGGTCAGGTCAGGGGCTGCTTACTCTAGCTAGACCTGCTCTGGGGGGATTCCTGCTAGAACTAGTGTTCTTTGGACAGCGTGGGATGGGTCAGCAAAATCAGGCCAGGTTGAACAGCTCCTGTTTATTTCTCAGCCTCCAGGAAGAGCAGAGGTAGCTAAATTCTAGGGTGCTGTCACTTCACCCTCTACAGCCTCTCCCTGGCTGCTCAACTCCTGAGCCAAGCTGCCATCGGAGGGTCTGGCTCATCTCATTCATTTAGCAGATGGGGCAGGGTCCTGGATCACTTGGCAGCGGCCCTCTGAACAAGCTCAGGAAGGACAGATAATGTTCTGCTCCCCCCACTAGGTCCCAGTCTAGCACCATGAGACAAGCCAGTAGATTCAGAGAAACCTGGTCCCAGTCCCAACTGGGTTATCCCTTACTATTAGGCATCCTCCTCTGTAAAATGAGGAGATTGGAATGGATCACAGTCTTATTGAGATGACTAAATGGGATGATGAATAAGAGGTCCTTGACCCCTTGTGAGGGCTGCACAAATACCAGCCCAATACTCCCTGCACTTTCAGCCCATCTTCAAAGACCTCCTGCCTCACCAAGAAGCTGAGCCACCCCTGTCCCCACTCCTACCTCCAATTCCCAAGACCTATCTCCATCTCTCCTTCCAGGACCCTTTTATTGCCCAGCTCCAGGCTAGCAAGTCCTCCAAAGCCACCTCATCAAAGCCCCCCATCTCACTGTCTGTACCACCAACCTAACTTTGAAAGTTAAGAAGAACTCCTGTGCTTTGCTTTCTGCCCCAGAGGGGTGATGTTTGACTTGCCCTTCCCCAAGTATCCAGGCCACAAAGCCAGGGAGGAGCAGCCCAGGCCCACAGGAGAGCAGCTAGACTGATGCTTCTGAATCAGTGCCTAGAGCTGCAGGGCAGCTGATGGGGCTGGGAGAGAGACTAGCCTCTGTCCCTCCTGCATCAGCCTGTGGCATCCCTGTCCAAAAGTCATTCCAAGTAGGAAGACACCTCTGCTCTGCCCAGTCCTGTTTAGCCCCCTGAGACACCCCAGCTCCTCTCTGCAACTGTCACCCAAGTTTATCTTTGCCCTTCCTTGACTTGTTCCAAACTCTCTGTGCCACTTCTTGCAGGGCACTGAGCAGCTTCCTAAGTTCATGCTTGGCTTGGGCAGGGAAGGGCGAACAGGCATTGATGACTTTGACAGGGATGTGGATGGAGAGGCACCTGCAGGCCAAGTGTCTGCTTTCTTCCAGGAATTAACTGCCTGGCTCTGGTCCTCCCCTCCTCCCACTGTCCTCATCTCTCATCCTCCATTCCCTGTGAGGCAGCTTCAATTATTTGCCTTGTCTTTCTGCCACTCAGCTTGTCAAGCAGTCGCAATGAAACCTGTCACTTAGAGACAGCTCCCAGCCCCTCCCAGAGATGTCTTCATATGGCTCCAACTGTCACCTCATTTGTGCGTTCACTCATTCATTGAACAACTCCTCCTTCTGGTCTATGCTATATCTATCCTAGATGCCAAAGACCCAGGCTGGTCAGCCTGGCCCCTCCCCACCCCACCAGCTCCAAGGCTGTTGGCAAAAACAAAACACATGGGCAAAAATACTAAAATAAAATTCGGGTTTGGGTAAGAGCTGCAGGTCAGGAATAGAGAAAGCCTGGGGGGGACGTGGCAAAGAGAACTAACTTTACTAAGTACATCTGCCAGAGACGATTCTTAAAGAGTACACGGGTCAGAGAGTGGAATGGCCTGGGAAGAAACCTGTGTGTGGAAAAATGCAGAGTGGGTGTAGGGGGACATGCCCCAAGGGGAGGCTTCCAGAGGGTAGTTATTACATCCTGTGTCTGTCGTTGGGCCCTTGACAGTACTTCCCTCCTGGCAAGGAAAACTTGGAACCCAAGTGCCCTATCTCCTTGTGTTCTTGGTTTCTGGCTCAGGGCCATGCACTCCATTGCAAGGTGTCTTTAGAGAGGAGCTAAGGTACAGGACATGGTGGCACACACATATAATTCCAGTACTCTAGGAGGCTGAGGCAGGAGGATAGCCAAGTTTGAACCCAGCTTGGGCAACTTGGCAAGACCCAGTCTCAAAATGAAAAATAAAACATGACTGAGGATGTAGTTCAGGTGAAAGGCCTAGGTTCAATCTCCAGAGGGAAGGAGGGAAGGAAGGAGAGAGGGAGAAAGGAGGGGCTAGGGGTCAGCTTCACAGGGCTGGCTCAGGCTAAAGTGAACAGGCACCCAGGGCTTCATGTGAACATCCTCAGAGAGCATCTGGGGTCCTCTGTTTCATTGAGGATGGAATAAGACAATGGTACAGGTGCCCAGGACAGAAGATGTTCAATAAATCACCCTCCCGTGGAGGTTGTACCTCTCTATGGGCACAACTCATGAGGAGGAGCCCCTGGGCTCTTCATCACCAATTGGCCTTGGCCACCTATGCCCCAAAGGCTAAGGCCCTAGTGATCCAAGCTCCCCTGTCCACAAAGGGAAGCAGGGTGGAGAGGTGGGGACAAGGCCTCAGGATCCAGAGACAGGCAAACTTGGGTTCTAATCTCAGCTCTGCCACTTCCCAACTGTGTGAGGTCTTTGGGCCTCAGTTTCTTCATCTGTGAAATGGGGGTAATAATACCTGCTGCAGAAGATAAACATGTAAGGATGGAGAGAGAATGTGGATGTAGGCCACCAGGGAGTATCTATCACACAGTTGGAGCTCAGGAAAATTGGAGCCTCATCATCTCCATTGTATCTTCAGGTGCCAGTGACTCCCTCAGGGCTCACTTCCTAAAAACAAACCATGGCAAACTGAAGCCTGACTGAGGATCAGAAGTGTCACTGGCCACCACATCCTTCCTCGCCCTTTCTTCCCCTTTTCTTTCATTCACTCACCACTTCTCCTCAGGCAGGCAGAGGAGGGGGGCAAAGCCAGTCCTGCTCAACACAACTTCCCTGGGCCTGTGCAGGCCAGAGCCCTGGCCAGCAAACATCTGGACTCATCTATATGATCTGCTCTCCACCTGGGGGAGCGTAGAGGTGGGAGGCAGATAGGGCCAATGCCTGGTGCTTTCACATGGCTCATGCAGGGTGGGGTGGGTCCTCATTCAACTGTGCCTCACAGCAGCCCCAGAAAATTGGGAATTCGGAGTCCCATGCTACCCACGAGGAAACTGAGGCTCAGCAAAGAGAAAGTATTTGCCCCTCAATGCCAGAACAGGAACTGGACTACCTTCCTCCCAATTCTCCTCCCAACTACTCCTCCCAACTCTAGATTTCTGTCCCTACAGATAGCTCAGTCTCAACTATGCTATCAACAACTAGTGGGGCAACTGGAGCTAGGAACTTTGTGTGGTATGAAGAAAGAAGAACTTGAGCCTTTGTGGTGAAGGAGGTGCTGGGCCAGGACCCCGAGGGCTCTTAGGAGCACTGGTTATGAAAGGAAATGGGTGACTCTGAGCAGAGTTCATATGCACTCTCTGCCCCCACCAGGCCTGTCCTCCAGGAGCTCCTAGACTAGCAGGGGACACCCAGACCTGGTGGGGATAGGTATGGCTGGAGGGAAGAATGAGAGAATGACTGATGCCCATGAGCAGGATCTTGGAGCACTTTGGAGGATGCCAAGGTAGATTCTCAACCAGAGAAAACAACAAAGCATGAAGCAGGAATGTGGTGGGATGTGGAGAAAGAGAAAAGTTAAAGTAAAGGTTGGTGGTGAGAGAGAGGGGAAAGAGTGAAGCTGGAGGGGGAATAGCCAGGTGACTCCACTGGGGGCTGGGAGTGGCCCAGGAATAGGACAGTTAGGACAATGAGGAGAGGTAGGTCCTTGGGAGGATCTGGGAGCCATCTCCACCTGAGGACACAGACATTCAATCCAACACAATATAGAAATAAAACCTCTGAGAGCCAAACAAAATTGGAATGTGGGCTGGCTTCTGCCCTAGCACCTTTCACCATGCTCTGCTCAGGTGACAAAGGAGAGGTTGAGTTAGAGGTGGAAGGGTAGACAGAGGCTCCAGGGTGTGCAGCGTGCCTGAGAGAGGCAAGGCCAGGCAGACACAGCGGGGTGGGGGTGGGGGGACGCCATGGTTCCCAGTGAAACGGTGCGGGGTGACAGAGTCTCTGAAGCTGGGAACAGCTTCAGAGCAGCCCGGGGGAGGAAGAACACTGGCGAGGTGCAGGCAGGTGCAGGACGGGCTTCCAAGGAAGAGAGCAGGCTAAAAAGGATCTGCAGCCCGGAGGTGAAGGGCTTCCTTCCATCCCCCTGTCTGGAAGCTGCCTCCCCTGACTTTTGTCTCCAGGAGCACTGACGTTTGTTGTGGGAGGTGACTCTACTGACAAGGGTCACCTGGGGGGGTGTAAAGGTAGGATGAGAGGATGGGGCTGGGAGAGGACGGGCAGGGTGTGGTGCACCAGGGAGGGAGTCATCCCACGTTCAGCACTCTGCAAACTTTCTCTCCTGCTCAGCAACTGCTTACCTCATGCTCCAGATGGGAGATGAGGCTCAGGGAGGAGCCCAGGGTTATAAAACTAGAAAAAGGCAGGGCTAGGATTTGAATCTGGGTCTTGAAACCCCTAGCACCTGTGTTCTTTTTTCTATGGAAGAAACGGCAAACTTAAATGGCTGGCAGGGTCAACCATCAATACCAGTACAATAGCAATTGTAATGTTGCCTACACTCCAAATAATGTTCAGAGTTCTTTCTGTCTATTTAACTTATTTAATTGAAGTAATCCTTTTAAGTCAGAACCACTATTTGCCAAATATTTAGAGAGGAAGAAACCGAGACACAAAGAGGTTAAGTATTTTTTTCCAAGGTTGCACAGCACAAATTTGAACTCAAGTAGGCTGGGGTAGCTCCTGCCTCATACTGACTCCAAAAGTAACACAGAGGCATCAAACAGGCCCCAGAGCCCTCTGAGGGGAGTGTGAGCCCCTTCTAAGGAAGGTAGTGGCTGATCGGTACCAGCCAAGGTTGCATGCCAGGAAGAAGCCTGGGGTACCTGGAACATCACAGCCTTCAGGAAGACATGGAAAACTGGTATTATGTAAAATCTCTTGATTTTTAAATGAGAGAAGCCCCTTTTACCTTAAAAAAAAAAAAAAACAAAAAACCTCTGGGCACCAAGATAATAATAACATCCCATATATCTGCAGGCTCAGTCTCGCTTACAGATGGCTGCTCGGTGACCTGTGTGTTCCTAAGTTGGGAGTGGGGAGCAGAGAAGCAGGGCAGAGGAGGCTTTGGGGGAAAATGTTCCCAGGCATTTCCAGTGGGGATGGAAAGAAGGGACAGGTGATGAAAGTTCCTGTGACAGTGAAAAATGTAGGAGGTGAGAGGGAGGAGAAAATGGGGGATGACTCAGGCCCTGGTGCTAGGAGCCTAGGTGATGGGATGCAAGACAGGGTGCAGGGAAGCTAGCTCAGCTCTCTGGGTCTTTGGGGGACAGGGGCAGAAGGAACTTCCATTTTAGATTGCTAGAGTTTGAATGGCTTGTGGAGCATTTGAGGGAGATGTTAGCAGGAAGTGGGCTACCTGTGGTTGGAGCTGGAAATCTGGGGGGAAGGTATGACAAGGGGCCGGGATGGAGCCATGGAGAAGAGGCTGCCCTGCATGGGTAGGAGATCATGAGGGAGATGGGGGAGCTGCTAGGAAGGTAGGAAGGGCACCCAGAGAAACCACTGCAAAACTCATTTCAAGAGGAGGGTTTTTCTGTTTCATTAATGGCTGGGATTCCCAGAGAAGTCTGAGTTAGTGTGTGTGGTACGGGAGGATGCAGTTGGCTGGTGCAGCAATGCTACTCACAGTGTGTTTCCCGGGCCAGCAGCATCAGTATCATCTGGAGCTCTTTAGAGTAAAGATCCTTAGGCTTCATCCTGGATCTGCTGAACCTGAACTTCTGGAAGTGGGCTCTTTCTGGTCATTCTATGGTAAAACTTGAGAGCCACTGCTCTATACTATAAAAATAATATCCTAGTTGAGCATGATGGCTGAGGCAGGAGAATCATGTTTAAACCCAGGGCCGGGGATTTAGATCAGTGGTTTCACCACCTGCTGCGCAAGCTCAAGGACCCTAGTTCAATCCCCGGTACCAAAAAATAAAAAAATAAAACAAATCTTGGCCTTCATTTGGGCTGGGGATTTAGCTCAGTGGTTTCGCCGCCTGCTGTGTAAGCGCAAGGACATGAGTTTGATCCCTGGTATCAAAAAACAAAACAAAACAAAAACAGCAGGCCATAAGTTCAAGCCCAACCTGGGCAACCTAGTGACTTATCAAGGCCTTATCTCATAAAAAAAAAAAAGTCCAGGGATATAGCTGAGTGCAAAGGCCCTGGGTTCACCCCTGGGCTGGGATGGAGGCAGAGTATTCTGTGGGGTGGGACCTGTGGGAGATCCTGCATCCCTAGAGGAAACACGTGCAACAAGGAGATCATTGGCTACAGAAACACCTTTTCTTCCTCAAAGTCGACAGCAAGCATTGATAGAGCCTTTGCCACATGGTGGCTGCTGTTCTGTGAGCTATAAATACATCAAACTGACTGGGTCCTCACAACAGCCCTAGGGAGGAAGTTACTAATCTTATCATCATCCCCTATTTACAGATGGAAACCAATAAGTGAATTAATTTACCCAAAGTCACGAAGCTAGTAAGGGACAGAAACAGGATTAAAGTCTGCCGTGTATACTGGGGCTCTCCTAGCAGAGGCTAGGGGTGGCAGGAACCAGGGGCCACCAGATGGTACAGACACTGACACTTGGTAGAAAAGGGCAAGCAAAACCCTGACCAAGCAGTGACTACTGGGGGACACCCAGCACGCCTCTTCGGGGGAGGAGTACACAGTTCCAGCTCTGGGGAAGCCGGGCCCAGAACTGTCCCCTGAAATTACTCCTGGGATTCCGCTCTGACTTTCTACTTCGGGTCTCTTGTAGGTTCTGGCTGTTTCAGATGGAGGTGAGTGACAGAATGTGTGGAGAAGCCCTGGCTGGGGGAGAGGGAAGAGGGAGGTGGGAGTGCTTGGAGACTGTACCTGCAGTGTGGATGCCCACTGGAGGCAGGCTTGGAGCAAGGGGCTGGGGAAATTTCGAAAGGAGGTTCACCCCCACTTATCCATTCCCTTGCAGAGCTGAGCAGCACGGCAGGGTCCCAGGGCCAGGGCGAGGGCCGAGGCAGCTCCCTCAGCATCCACAGTCTCCCCAGTGGCCCCAGCGGCCCCTTCCCCTCTGAGGAGCAGCCTGTAGCCAGCTGGGCCCTGTCCTTTGAGCGGCTGCTGCAAGACCCCCTGGGCCTAGCTTACTTCACTGTAAGCCCTGGGATGGGGAGGGTGGGGAGGGCCTGTAGGTGGCAGATGCCACTGCCTGGGGAGGAGTGGGGGGAGCAGGGCGGTTGGGAAAGGGCACGGATGGAGCTTCAGGCTGGCCAGAAGGGGGGTTCCCTCTCTGTGGGCTCATCTAGACTTTCTTTGGCACCCTCCCTGTTCTCCCAGCTGGGAGCTCTTCTTGGTGTCTCTGTCCTCATTTTCTCTCCCGGGTTCGGGGCCATCTGTCTGTCTGGCCCTATCTGTCTGGCTGGTCTTTGGCTGTGTGTCGGTCCCAACTTCGTCGAACACATCTCCTGATTCAGTCTGTGGTTGATCCCCCCCTCCCGCCCCCTCCAGGAGTTCCTGAAGAAGGAGTTCAGCGCGGAGAATGTGACTTTCTGGAAGGCCTGTGAGCGCTTCCAGCAAATCCCAGCCAGCGACACAGAACAGGTGGGGAAAAGGGGAGTGGGGCAGAGGAATGGGGACCAGGGCCCGGACAATGCTCGACCTCTTCCTGTCGCTCCTCCCTCAGCTAGCTCAGGAGGCCCGCAACATCTACCAGGAGTTCCTGTCCAGCCAGGCGCTGAGCCCGGTGAATATCGACCGACAGGCCTGGCTGGGAGAGGAGGTGCTGACCCAGCCCCGGCCCGATATGTTTCGGGCACAGCAGCTTCAGGTGAGCAGTGCCAAGCGGCCTTTGCTGAGAGGGTGACTTTGAAAGAGGCAGAAAGGGAGCAGAGGTGGAGTCAGATCCCGGGGCGGAGCCTGAGCGGCCAGAGGGAAGGGGCAATTTCGGGGGCGCGGCTAGAGCCGGACACAGCAGCAGGGTCGGAGTCAGAGGGCCGCTCCAGAGGGGGCGCGGAAGGATGGGTGGGGCGGGGCCTAGCTGAGCTCGGGGCGGGGCCAAGGGCAGGGGCGGGGCTCGACCCCCGGAGCTAACTGTTGGAACTGAGGTGCGGGGAGCAGGGGCTCCATCCCTAGGTTGAGGGAACAGCCACAAGGGCGGCACTTGGGGCGCAAACGGCGCTCAGAGCGCCCACCTACCCGGACCCAGGCTCGGCAGCTCTGCACTTGCTCAACAGATCTTCAACTTGATGAAGTTCGACAGCTACGCGCGCTTCGTCAAATCCCCGCTGTACCGAGAGTGCCTCCTGGCCGAGGCCGAGGGGCGCCCCTTGAGGGAACCTGGCTCCTCGAGCGTGGGCAGCCCTGACGCCACGAGGAAGGTGCGGACAAGGAGAGGTGGGAGGCGGGGGTCCAATGACGGTCTGCAGGAGAGCACCTCCTATCCTCCCCACCCCCTGGGCGCCGACCTGCGGGTGTCAGCCTAGGACAGACATTGCCCGAGGGCGAGACCCCAGCCCGGCACCGGCGCCTTCTCTGTACCCGCAGAAGCCGAAGCTGAAGCCTGGGAAGTCGCTGCCCCTGGGCGTGGAGGAATTGGGGCAGCTGCCCCTGTCTGAAGGTCTCGGAGGCCGCTCACTCCGCAAATCCTTCCGCAGAGGTGAGGGTAGGAGTAGGCCACAGAGATGGGTGGAGGATGCCCCTTCCTCCCACTTGACCCTCCCAGTCTTAAGCCTTTAAAAAAAGAAAAGAAAAGAAAAGAAAAGAAAAGAAAGAAACACACATCCCTGAGGGCACCTCATTCTCCTGGGTGGTTTGTTCCCAGGCTAGACCCTAGAAGTTTGGGGGTCTCCCGTGGTAGCTACATTTCCGGGGACCACACCACATTGCCCCTGCAGGAAGGCTAGGAGCAAGGGCCACCGGAAGCGGGAGGGGCCCCTGCAGAGGGGTGGGTGAGGAGTGGAGGGCCTGTGCCTGTTCACTGCTCCTCTCCTCTAGAGCTGGATGGCAGGGCCACAAACATGGCCTTACGCCGAGAATCACAGGGCTCCCTCAATTCTTCGGCCAGTCTGGACCTTGGTTTCCTTGCTTTCGTCAGCAACAAATCTGAGGTGAGCCGACTGCCTGGGGAAACAACAAGGTACATTCTGGATTAGGGCCACTGCTCGCCGTTTGTGTGGTGCCTGTCATTCTCAGCCAGTGTCCTCACTTCCATTTCCAGCTTGCTCTACGTAGCTAATTTCTCACCCTTGTTTTCCTCCTGTCCTCTTGCATGTGGTAGGCACACATCCTCATCTAGCAGAAATGTGTGCATGTGCAGGTCTCAGGTATATACAACATGTGTGTGGGCGTCAGTGCAAGAACCTGTCCACCCACTTGCTTGTGCAAACCTATGTTCCAGTAGGACACATCTTTGCCTGCTTCCAAGTATGTCCTTGGACGTGTGTGCCCCAGTGAGCTTACCTGTCTTTGTACCTGTCTGTGTGCCTTTGCACATATACCCAAACACTCCCTCCACTCCTGCCAGTATCAGAGCCACCGAAAGAGCCTCGGGAGCACTGAAGGTGAGAGTGAAACCAGGCCAGGGAAGTACTGCTGCGTGTACCTGCCCGATGGTACAGCTTCCTTGGCTCTGGCTCGACCTGGTCTCACCATCCGTGAGATGCTGGCAAGCATCTGTGAGAAACGAGGCCTCTCTCTACCTGACATCAAAGTCTACCTGGTGGGCAGTGAGCAGGTATGAACCTGACCTGGCCCTAACTCTGACCCTCCTGATCCTGACCCCACTCCATCCTGTACCAATCCTAAATCAAACCCTTTTCCCTGTCATCACCCCTTTCCTAACTCCAGCCTGCACCACAAACCCACAACCCCACCCCAGCCCTATGGCCAACTCTAAATCAACTCCAGCACCAACTCCGCACTCAAACTTGGACATCACCCATATCCCACAAAAATCCTTTCCTTTAGGGCGGGGAATTTAGCTCAGTGGTTTCGCCACCTGCCTTGCAAGCGCAAGGGCCTGAATTCAATCCCCGGTACCAAAAAATGGTACTTGATGATCTTGAGGGAGGTAAAGCCTGGCAAAAGTCACTAATGAATCTGGGATTTTCCTCATTACTCCCACAGTTCAGACTGTCGTCTCTTTGAAATTTCCATGTGCAGGGAGCCCTCACCTCCTCTGCCACCAGAGTCATCCAGCTATGCCTAACCCCTGAACAACTTTCCTCTGGATACAAATTAGCATTAAGCTCTAAAGAGGTGTTTAAGGGAAATCTCTTTAAATTGAACCATCCAGTAAGGGGATCTAAAGGAACAGTACTGCATTCCATGGAGACCATCAGGATTTCATTCACCTAGTAGTCAAGTCCTAAGGCCCTGCCAAGGTGGATGAGCAGAAGGACTCAGACCCAGGCTCTGCTATCCAGGCCCACAGTCTGGAGGTGAATCAGGCAAAAGGTGATTAGGGAGGAGGAATCAAAACCTCTTTCGGGGAAGGCTTTGGCTGGTGTCTGGAAGGCTTCATGAAAGAAGCAAGAATTGATGAGGATAGGGAGGAATGTGCCTGGCAGAGCTGTGGCAGAAGATATTCCAGGCAGAGGGAACAGCTTAAGCAAAGGACTGGAGGTGGGTACTTGTAGGACCTGTTCAGGAACCAGGAGCGTGGGAATGTGAGAGTAGCAGGGGAGGCACTGTGCCCACTGTCTCAGGCCACCAGAGCAGCCGCCAGCAGCCCAGATGGGCATGCGTACCTGCTAAATATAACTTCACCACCCACACTCCACCTGTCTCTGCTGCACAACACAGGCTTACTGTCTGGGAAAGGCTTCCCCCTCCCTCCCACCACCCCCTCCCAGGGCTGTCACAGACAGTGAGGCCTCTAGGGGGTGAGCATTGCTACCATTACTATTTACGTACCTAGTTGTGTGCGAGGCACTGTGCCAGTGCTCCACATCTTTCTGGCCTCACAGCAGTCTTAGGTGATGGATGCCTTTTCTGCAGTGAGAAGACAAGGGGTAGCCTTGGTAAGGAGGGGATGGAGAGGTGGACAAATGTTAAAAAAGGGACAAGGCCTGGGTAACTGACCACAGGAGGGTGGTGAGGAAAGAAATGTAACTAGCTGGTTGGATTTCTCATGACTGAGAGTCAGGGGCAGCTGTCCAGGAGGCAGATCTGACCAGTAATCCAGGACCTAATCCTGCCTCTTACCAAAGCACCCCACCATTCCATTTCATGCCCACCACACCCTTCTGTTTCCCATAACTCTAGTCCTTTCCAAGCTTCCTCCAGCATTCTTGCCACTTTTCTTATTAGCTTGGTCTTATTAATCTCCAACACCAGCCTGGTTCCCTACTCCATCTGCCCCTGTACAACTGTCCTACCCACTTCCCTCTGATTTTTAGGGAACCCATTGGAGAGCGCAGGAGAAAGTGAAGGTGGTGCCCAAAGGCCCCCAGGGGTGGCTCAGGGTGGGAGGAGGGATTCTTAGACCCTGCCTGGCATCTGCAGAAGCCCCTGGTCCTGGATCAGGATTGTACTGTGCTGGCGGACCAGGAAGTTCGGCTGGAGAACAGGATCACCTTCGAGTGAGTGTGCACCCCCAGGCTGTGTCTGGAGTCCTACACTGCTTCAACTTGGTTCTGCTACTGGTCTCCCCAGCTTTCCTCAGGCCCCACCCCCTGGGTTCAAACCCCACCCCAAGACAGTTTCACCCTCCTGGTTCCATCTCTGCCCACTCTGGGCCTGTCCTGGGAGGGCTGCAGGAGACGGGGGCTGGCTCTCCGCCCCTCTGCAGCCCAGGGGTCCTGTGCAGGCTTGAGTTGGCGGTGCTGGAACGCGTGGTACAGATCTCTGCAAAGCCCACCAAGCGGCTGCAGGAAGCGCTGCAGCCCATTCTGGCAAAGCACGGCCTGAGCTTGGAACAGGTGGCTCTACACCGGGTAAGCCAAGGGACAGCTGACCAGGGTGGGTGCTGGGTGGTGGGGAGCGGATTACCTGTCCCACAGGCTGCTGACCTCTCCCCGAAGCCAGGTGAGAAGCAGCTGCTGGATCTAGAGAAGCTAGTGAGCTCGGTGGCCACCCAGAGACTGGTTTTGGACACTCCTCCAGGTAGAGGTCACTGGCCCTGGAACTTGACCTCTAGGTGGTATGGCTCTGGCCCAAGAGGATGGGGGTCCAGGCAAGAGGCAGACAACAACAATGGCACTCTCTGTCACAGGTGCAAAGATCTGTGAAGCCAGCAACATGTCCCCCTGCTCCAGCCAGGTAAGCAAGAGCCCTAGGATGCCTTCTTCCACCTGCTAGTTTTCTTCCACCTCCTGGTTGTGACTGACCCACGTTCTTGTAGGGATGGCCTCCTAGGATCCAGGACAAAGCCACTCATATCTCTACACAGCCCTCCAGTTCTCTGTTGGAGGTGCCCAGTACTGCCACTGGGAAACGGCAGACTTGTGACATTGAAGGTATATTGTGGGGATAGTGGGGACCGGGGACTGGAGAGGCTAGGGAAATGGGGAGGCCTCAGAGAGACTTTAAAGCAGTGGCCTGAGTGCCTTTGGGGCTGGAACAAGAGAGCTGGGGCCATTAGAATTGGAGGGCAAGAAGGACTGCGATAAGGGCCCCAGTGGCCATTGGTGCTGGTCAGGGAGGCAGCAGAACCGAGGAGGGCTAGCACAGGCAGCGATAAGAGAGTATGTCTTGTGACTCTGTGGCTGGACTCAGGCCTGGTAGAGCTGCTGAACCGAGTGCAGAGCTGTGGGGCCCATGACCAGAGGGGCCTTCTTCGAAAAGAAGACCTGGTACTTCCAGAATTTCTGCAGCTGCCTGCCCAACAATCCAACTCCTTGGAGGCTCCACCACAGACCGAATCAGCTGCCCAGCCCAGTGGGGGATCCTCAGACTCCACTACCCAATCAGCCCTCTGACACCTTAGTCACAGTCCAGGCTGGCTATATGACACCTGTCGGGCCGAGCATGATGTGGGTCCGCTGTGCATGCCCTGTCTGTGCCATGGGTGTCCTTGGCCCTTTCCTGCCATGGGCAGGCCCACAGGAAGAGCCAGGAGGGGATGGACAGGGAACTCAGAGGCTCCATGTCCCACAGCTGCCACCACCTGCTCTCTCCCAATGGGAGGGAGTGGGCCTAGATCCTTGGTGCAGCTGTGCCTAACATGGAGGGGTGGCGTTGGCAGTGCCAGCCTCCTCAGCCTATGCCAAATCTCAGCAGGGAGCAAGAGGAGGGGCTGGCCCCTTCTTAGGGAGTGAATGAGTAAGGCCTGGGGGTGCAGGTGGGCAGCCCCTCCCTATACCCAGAGACTCTACTGTACATATGGATTTTGCAGTTGGCTTGGGGCAGCTGGGCTTGTCCTGGATGTATGATATTGTTATTATAATAATTATTATTATTCTGCCATGAGGTGTGCTCCTTGTGTGTCAGTCTGCTCTGCTTCCCATCCCCCACTACAAACCATACTGCCTCTGTCACCAAGATCAGTGCCAGGAAGTTCTTGGGGACTTCAGGATGTACCTCCTGACTTCCTGTTTTCAGAATCTCTTTTTCTGACTGCATAGAATATGGGGGCAGAGGAGTGCATAAGAGAGACAGATGCCTCCCTCCACTGCAGCTGTGCCCTGGCCATCATCCAGCTGTTGAGGCTCTGGATCTGAATACATCATTCTGGCTGCTGTTCTCTGCTTTGATCTGGGCCCTAGTGCGTCTTTACACACCTAACTGGGGGCTCCTTTGAGAGCATTAAAGGCCTATGTGTGGGCCAGGCATGGTTTCGCATGCCTGTAATCTCAGCATGTGGGAGGCTGAAGCAAAAGGATCATTGTGAGCTTGAGGCCAGCCTGGGATACATGGTGAGTTCAAGGCCAGCCTGAGCTACACTTTTTTTTTTTTTTCTTTTTTGGTACTGGGGATCGAACTCAGGACCTTGTGCTTTTGAGGCAGGTAGCGGAACCACTGAGTTAAATCCCCAGCCCCAGCCTGAACTACATAGCAAGACCCTGTCTCAAAAAACAAAAACAAAACAAAGGCCTATACAGGAGACACTGGTTGTTTTGGGGGAGCAAATTCTCACATGTACCTGCTTTGGCTGGGTGGTTTTTCCTGTCTCCAGGAAGACAGGGGAGCCAGGACCCTACACAGGGAGGGGAAGCAGGGAGGACCTTCCAGAAAGAGGGCCCCCAGCCAATGAGGAGAGAAGCCAAACTTGTCCCAACCCTGAGGTAAGTGCTGCCACAGTGACCTCCAGAGAACCTTACCTGAGAGGTGAGGGAGAACCCTTCCTGCCTCAAACAGTGCAGGCTACACCTGCTGACCCCTCTACCAGGTACTCCTCTACCCTCTATCTTCCCACCCTACTGCTTCCTCTTCCTCTTCAGAATTGGTGGGATAGATCGGTGAGGTTTGGTCCACCTTGCCATCCTCTTCCAGCTTCTGCCTTCTGCCCCCTTAGCCCATTTTATTTGGCTGGGGGCATAAACTTCTAGGTGGGCCTATGATCCAAGCCTGTCCAGTCAGATACTCCATTTTCCTAGCCAATCAGAGTTTGATTCCAGATGTTCCTCAGATTCCAGTTGTTCCAATCAGAATTCCAGTCCTGGTCTTTTTTTGCTCTCTCTTTGGGATTTGTACAAAGGACCTTCAGGAAGAGAACCTGCATGAGAATGAAGCCTGCCCAGGATAGCAGGACTGAGAGGTGGAAGGAGATTCCTGGCAATGTTCACTCATGCCTAAAATCAACCACTTGTAGACTGTCTCCTTAGCCAAACAAATACACTTTCTGGGCACGTGTATTTGTTTCTAAGACCTGAAACCACAAGAGCCCTGCTTCACTGACCACCTCAGCAGTCTCAAATGGTCTCATCGAAGCATGCAGGGACAACAGGTCATCAGGCATCCTAACAGGGAATTGCATAGCACTAGGATTGCTGTGTGAGGCCTGGAGTGAGAGGAGGGAAACAGTCATGTCCTTTCTCTGACCAGCTACGGAACTTCCTTCAGACTTCCTGGGACCTGGGACTTCTGCCCTGTGGAAGGACACACCCTTCTACCTGCCTCAGAATAGATGAGTGGGGGCAGCAAGTGAGAGACGGGCCATCTTCCTGACATTGGCAGGCAGATCCTGCAGGCCAAACCCAGCCCTCACCCATCCCTGTACCTCTGTGGGCCCAACAATGATGCCTGTTACCCTGACGGACCAAAGGGGTTGTTTCATGGGAAAAGGGGGTCAAGGCCAGGTGAAGAGCCTCATGGAAGTCAGCTCCTGCAGGGGAGGAACTCACATTTACTGAGTTCTCCAAGATAGATGTGACCCATCCTTTATCTCATCTTCATCTTCGCAACAAACAAGCCAGTGGGATGAAAGCAGGTTTGCAGGAGGGGAAGTGGCTGGCTCAGGGTAATGCACGGATGTTTCTGTGGAGCTTTGCCAGTACTCAGCTGCCTGATGCAGGGACATACTCCAGGGAGGGCCTGTGTGAATAGAAACCTGGGTGAGGACCCAGCGTCCTCTTGGGGGGGGGTACATTGATATGGCTACTTTTTTTTCTTTTTTTGGTACCAAGGATTGATTGAACTTGGGACCTTGCCCTTTCGAGGCAGGCGGTGGAACCACGGAGCTAAATCCCCATCCCAAAATGACTACTTTTTGTGTGGAGTGGGGCAGTTCAGGAGTTTTTGCTAAAAATTTAAATCAGCATGTGACCCTAGGGAATCCCACTAGAGAATCACTCACTCCAGGGATGTGGAGGCCTGGCCCCAAAGGTTATGTGTTACCTGAAAACTGGCAAACAACCACATGTGGACAGGATTTCGGGATAATACACACTGAGACATGTCCATGCTCTGCAATACCACACAGCAGAAAAAGAATTGGGTACAGCAGGTCCTTATGTGGAAAATTCTCCAAGACGTGTTAGTGCTCAGTGAAACAAAGCAGAGGTGTGTCTATGGCGTGATACCTGTTGTGATCTGTTTTCTGTTGCTATAACTGAATACCACAGACTGGGTAATTTATAAAGAATAAAGATTTATTGGGCTGTGGGTATAGCTCAGCATATTCATGGCCCTAAGTTCAGTCTCCAGCACCAAAAACTAAATAAATGAAATAAAAATGCAGGTTTATTTTGCTCACAGTTCTGGAGGCTGAGAAGTCTAAGAGCATGTTGCCAGCCCCTGGTAAAGGCCTTTATAACATGGCAGAGATAAGGAGCTAGCCAGAGAGCTTATTTTATAATAAAGCCATTCCCCAAATAACGCATCGATCCATAAATCCATGAATGGACTGATTCACAAGGGCAGATCCCAAAGGTCTCATCTCTCAACATTGCTATACTGAGGACCAAGTTCCCAACAGTGACCTTTCAGGAGACACATTCAAACCATAGTTATAATTTCATGGGGCCAGGGATGTGGCTCTGGCACTGTGCCTGCCTGGCAAGCGCAAGGTCCTGAGCTCAATTCCCAGTACCGGAAATAAATAAATAACTTCATAAATCACAAATGCATGGGCACTTACAAATGTACAGAAAGGAGAAAGAAAGTTCTACAAGTATATACAGTATACCAAACTGACCAGGAGATGGGGAGGGGACAAGGATTGGGTATAGTGGTCAAAGGAAACTTTTGCCTTAGCCTTAGTTTTTTTCTTCTTCTAAGGAATGCAATTTAAAATAATTTTTTTTGGCTGGGGATTTAGCTCAGTGGTTTCACCGCCTGCTGTGCAAGCACAAGGACTCGAGTTCAATCCCTGGTACAAAAACTCCCCCCCCAAAACAACAAAAAAAAACCAACAACAAAAAAAATTTTTTTGGCCGGGGATTTAGCTCAGAGCTGGGGATTTAGCTCAGGGCCAGGGATTTAGCTCAGTGGTTCTGACGCCTGCCTCACAACCGAAAGATCCCAAGTTTGATCCCCGGTACCAAAAAAAAAAAATAATAATAATTTTTTTTTTGTACTGGGGATGTAATTCAGGACCTTGCGCTTGCAAGGCAGGCGACAGAACCACTGAGCTAAATCCCCGGCTAAAATAATTTTAATAACACAAAGAACTACCCAAGGATCCAACTTGGTAGAGACCAATTCTTTCTTTGGGAACTTGAGTCCACCCCCACCTTGGGTCATTTGGTTGGCTGGGTGTGCTCTTCTGCCACAATGCCCTCTGTCTTCCCCACTCTAACAAACCCTTTGTAGTAGCCCTAGGTAAGGGAGACCCTGTTCCCTCCTCACAGTTGCCGTGTCCCAGAGCCCCTCAAGGCCTGGGCTCCCATCGGCCGAGCCCAGCCAGGCCCCATCTAGCAGACCCAGACTCACAGCTTCCTCCTCCAAATTGGGTCAGGGGTGAGAGGCATTAGCTGGTTAACCCGTGAGGCCCCATTTCACAGCTATTACTTGAGCTGGCTTCTGGGTAGACAGGAAAGATGGTATAGAGCTGCCCCTCACACCCTAGATTGGAAACCAGGAGGGGTGCTGGCCTTGTCTATCTAGTAGAAAGCATGAAGGAAGGGAGAGAACACATGCTTATTTGTTAACTAATTTTCATCTTCCCAATACCCCATTTTAAACTGGGCATGGTGGCACATGCCTATAATCCCAGCACTCGGGAGGCTGAGGCAGGAGAATCACCGTGAGTTTGAGCCAGCCTGTGCTACATAGTGAGTTTAAGGCCAGCCTGAGCTACATAGTGAGACCCTGTCTCAAAAACAAACAAACCAACACCCTAATACTTCATTTTACAGAGGACACAGGCTAAGAGAGCAGGACATCCATGAGATCCAAACCCATGTGGCTCCTAGCCTCTGAGAGACAATCTTGCCCCTCATCTCTTATCTTCTTCTACAAGGGCTGAAGAAGGGAATGGTATGCGATGGGCACAGGGTACACAGTGACCTTGGTTCTGGGCCAGGGTGGAGGCAGTTGGGGCACTGGCTGCTCACCTGGAGCCCCCACTGAAAGTATGCTGACATAGCAGCAGGTCAGTGCTTGCCGGGGCAGCCAAGGTGCACTCTGCAGGGGGCCTGGCCTTCTAGTCAGGTGACTCTGGCTTCTGAGGGTTAAGGAAGCTAGAGGTCACTTTCACAGGGAAACAAACACCCAGAGGGGGCAGAATACAAATGGTTGGCTACACTGCATCACATGAAGCCTGTGAAATGAACAACTCCGAGGGGTGCCATTCCCATCCTTGACCATCCTGACAGGCCCAGGAACAGCTGGAAACATAAATGTGTAGCTGTGTTCTAGGAAAAGTGTAGGATTTGGACAAGGAGGGGGGCTCTGTGATCATCATAGCACTTGTCTGCGGAGAACTGGCTTGAGGGTGGAGCAGAGACAGAAAACAAGGAAAACTACCATAGAGCCAGCATCCCACCTTCAGAGTGGCCTAGGGTGCTGGATATCTGGATGAAATTCTGACTGGCAAAGATGGGTGGGTGAGAATGACCTCACTAGCCAAAGAGCCACCAAGTTCCTACCCCATTGCTGAGGGGCTGAAGGAACCCAGAACCCAGATCAAAATCTGGAGCATGGAAAAATAGAAGTGGAGCTTGGGTTCTGGAGGCCAAAGTCTGGAACTGGAACTTGAAGCCCAAAATGGAGACTGAAGCCAAAAGCCTGAAGTCCAGAACCTGGAGCCAGGAATCTGGAATTGGAGATGAACTCAGAGTCCAGTGCCTAGAACCAGAACTCCAACCTTGACATCAATGCCAGAAACTAGATCCAGGAGACTGGAACTCAGAGCCCAGAGTCCAGAACCCAGAGAATTTAGAATTCATGGCCTAGAACTCCCAGCTGGAAGTGGAATTAGAATATGGATCCCAGAACCTGGAGCTACTTTCAAGACCCAGAACATAGAACCCAAGAACTGAAGTCCAAAGCCAGACCTTAGAACTTCAGGTCTAGAACCTAGATACCAGGACCTGGAACTGCTGCTTTGGTAGCATGCTGTCCATGCTGACCATGCTGTCCACAGCCTTACTCTCTGTGCTGGACCCTGAGGCCAGTAGGCCAGTATGAAGGACACAGGGCTGGAGCCACATGAGGGAGGGAGCTGCAGGGAAGAGGCAATTTCTTAAAAGCTCAAAGCAGCCTCAGCTCTTCTGGTCACAGACTTTGGCCTTGTCCATAAATCAATGACCAGCACCTGGGCCACAAGGATTAATAATTATACAGGGTGATTATCCCCCAAACAGGAATGGGGCATCTTCAGGTCAGCCACCCCTGCCCTTAGCTCAGGAGGTGCCTTGGGTTCCCCATCTGCAAAATGGGACTTGAATGAGACAATGTCCCAGGGCTCTGTCTGCACTGGGCTGCCCTGGCCAGCTCAGACGGAAACCCAGGCTCTCCAAGGGTGGGCAAAGTCAGATGAACCAGGGGGGAGAGAGAGAGAGAGAGAGAGAGAGAGAGAGAGAGTGTGTGCTCTGTTCCCCAGGGAGAGGTGGCCAGTGGCCCTTCTGCTATATCTGCCAGCCCAGTGATAAGAACCCTTGCCCTGACCACAATAAATGCATCTGGAGTACATGTGTACGTGTGTAGACATGGTGGTCTGAATGCTGGGATGATGACCACTACCGTCTTCCCAAGGTACAGCACTGGGCTGACCCATAGCGGGCTTTGTATGTTCATTGAATTAACACTGTGCTTGTGAGAAGACCCATGAGTCCTCGAACTACACTGATGGGGAACTCTGTTGTGGAATTCAGTTCTCCCTCCACCCCAAACAATCCAGTTCATAGACAGAATGGTCTTGAATGTTGGTTTTTCTTCCCCTGATTGTACTCAATCTTTAGGTCCTGCAGAAAATTCACTTGCAGGAAACTATTTAAGGAGCAAATGGATGTTAACCAAGAATTGCAAAATCAACTGGCTGTGCCAACAACCTGCTCTGTTCCTGGATCCACATGCTTGTTCTTGGGAACAATCTCTCTCTCTCCGTTCTGCTGCTTTGCTGCTCCTAGGGAAATTATTTTCACTGACATTATGAAATTCAATATATGTCAGCCTCTCACTTTCATGCTGGCCACGCTGTTACCACTGTATATTGCCACCACCTGTTCTTTCCTAACCCATGGCAGCTGTCTCCTCCCCCCTCAGATTACTTGACATCTCAGCAGCATTTGACCCAGCTGACCAGCGTGTCTTTCTCAAAACTTGGTCAACCTGGGCATTAGGGCATCTGCATTTCTTTCTGGTCTTTCTCCTGATCCCTGGGTCCTCTTCTTGGTCTTCTCTGATGCCTAACGCTCCCTTAAATGTAGGTGCACTTCTGGGTTCAGCCATGGGCCCGTTCTTTCTTCATTATACATAATCTCCCTGGGGTTTGACTTTCCAGGCACAGGCGAAGGTCAGCAAGGAAGTCAGGAAGCCAAGTTGCATTGGTCCTCCCAGGCTGTGACACCATGCTGGTCTTTATTCAACCAGTTATCAGGTCTTTAAAGAGGAGGAGTGTGTGTGACATGATTAACTTTGGATTTTGAAGAGGTCACTGGCTGCTTTCTTTGGAGAATGGATTGGGGGGCAGCCCCAGCAGATGCAGGCAGGGCACTTGGGAGGTCACTGCAATTCCCCAGAGGAGATGACTCAGCCCAGAGTGGCTCAGTCCAGGAAGATAGCCACAGAGCTGCTGGGCAGTGAAAGTATCAGGTTGCTCCTGGAGAGATAAAATTAGGAAAATTGGAGAAAGAGTTGGAGGCAAGGCAGTGGAGGAGAATAAACTTCCAGGATGCCTACCTCATGCCTGGCTCCAACTGATGGGTGATACACTGCTTCCAAAGACTGGGAACATGAGGGAGGCTCACTCAGGGTAGGGTGAGGAGCACAGTGTGCTCAGACCTAAGAGCCAACTGCTCCCACCAGAGTCCCCTTTGACATAGCCTGTGCAAACGCATCTGCCTCCCAAATGGCTTCTCCTCTTCTGTGCTTTTTCTCCAAGTGAGACAACCCCAAGCAACAAGGTTCTGAGCCGAGAGAAAGTCCAGAGAAGCCATGGCCAGAGCTCAGGTACACAGAAAGTTTGAGTCACTATCCAAGGGAACACATGAATGCTGTCACCAACCAAAGAGGAGACAGGCACCTGGGGATGCGAGGTCATAAAATGAGCAGAGGGGCTGAGACCTGAATCTCCAGGGCTAAAATGGAGCCACTTTCTCTGCTCGTCCCACGAGCTCTAACAGAAGATCTGGTTAACTCTAAAGTTTCATTCCATAGGCTGAGGATTTAGCTCAGTGGTGCTGCCGCCTGCCTTGCAAGTGCAAGGTCCTGAGTTCTATCCCCAGTACCAAAATAAATAAATAAAGTTTCATTCCTGTCACTAGGGCTGAAGCGGTCCCACATCTGGGGGGGGGGGCAGGGGAAATTGCTTTTGGAAATGGTGGCTTTATAAGTCCATAGAATTTTGGAATTTAATCTCTTAGGATGCATTTAATCAATAATTAACTGTTTTCCAAAAAAAACCTTGAACTCTATGACAAAAGGAAGGTAAATTTCAGAAATGACGAAACTCTGGAATGGTAGCACATGCCTATAATGCCAGAATTTGAGAGGCTGAGGCAGGAGGATCTCTGAGTTTGAGGCCAGCCTGGGTTACCTATTGAGTTTAAGCCAATCTGTACATAGTTAGACCTTGTCTCAAAAGGCAAATACAAAATCATATCCTTGTTAAAAA